ACATACATGACAGTGCAGATCCGATGTCGAAGAAGTCAAACAGAAAGAAATGTAGAGAGAGAGAGAGAGAGAGAGAGGTCAAAGGTGATGACTTGACTGAGGCTACTGACTGCCACCTTTGGTGACTCCCGCTGGTTCTATATATCTTCGGCTTCACATTTATACGCTCACCAAGAGGGTTCTGGTAAGAGTCTCTTTGCTTGCAAACACCTGAAACTTTGCTACATGAACAAAGAGCCAATCGTAGACAAGGATAAGAAGGGGGAGTAGAAGAAAGGAAGAATAATCATGGAGGAGAGGAGGGAGAAGAGTGGAGAGCAGCAAGTGAGGGTAGTAGAGGAGGAGGAGGAGGAGGCGGCGGAGGATGATCCGGTGCTTCCGGGGTTCCGGTTTCATCCCACGGATGAAGAGCTCGTGGGTTTCTATCTGAGGAGGAAGGTGGAGAAAAAGTGCTTCAGCATAGAGATCATCAGAGAGATTGACATCTACAAGCATGATCCGTGGGATCTCCCAAGTAAGTTGAATTCCCTGTCCACCTCATTTATGATCCTTAGCGCTGAAGCAAGATGGTGATAGTGTTCATGTTTGCTTGTGGTTCATCCGTAGAAGTTGTGTCCGCTAGAGAGAAGGAATGGTACTTCTTTTGCTTGAGGGGTAGGAAGTACAGGAACAGCATCAGGCCTAACAGGGTCACCGGATCCGGATTCTGGAAGGCCACCGGCATCGACAGGCCGATATATTCTGCGAAAGACCCCGGCGGCGAATGCATCGGCCTGAAGAAATCCCTCGTCTACTACCGAGGAAGTGCAGGAAAAGGCACCAAGACGGACTGGATGATGCACGAGTACCGGCTTCCTTGCAAGAACTCCGACACCGCCACCCCCAGCATACACGAAGCTGTAAGCCTCCTTCCCCTTCTCGATGTGCTGCATATTCCGTAATCATATTTGCAGAGCATTCTCCTATGTACAGGAAATCTGGACGATATGTCGAATCTTCAAGAGGAACACCTTCAAAAAGAGCTGGAAGCAATCGAACAACGTGAAACTCCCAACTGATTCGAGCTCCAAAAGTAGCAGCTTCGAGTCCGACGACGGCGGAAACGAATTCAAGTTCCTCGCCTCCTCCAGCTACCTTAACGAGGAAGAAATGAAGTACGTCGGCAATTGCTTTGCGGAGAACGAGCAGATCTATGGGAGCCAGTGGAACTCCATGGCGCAAGCTCCCACGCCAACGTTGCACTCCGACGTAGTATCGACTACTCCTAGTGTGAACGACTTCTTCAGAGACGGCAACTGGGACGAGCTTGGAAGGATCGTGGGCTTCATGACAGACCAAAGTGTGGCCTCCTGTTGCCAATACCCCTAGACTTCTTTGGTCGCATGTGCAGGTGGCAACAAGAAGATGAGGAAGACGATGAGTACATGCAACGTCGACGTCTGTGTGTCGGATTCTATGCGATGTTAATTACTGAGTTCCAAAAGCACGGAAGATTTGTGTGAGTTAATTCTACCACTATGGGGAAATATTGCTAATTTGTCATGGAAGTTCTTCTAACTTGACCACTTCCTGCCATCCTTGTACAATGTACTGCTTTCAGTAAAAAGGATATGCTTGCAGAACATTTCCTTGCAGTGATGATACTGAGGCAAAGTTTTCTCCCGTATGAATGATGTATGAAAGAGAAATCTCACAAACCATCCCTGTATGATTGCTTGTTTCATCCACTTGCTTTGAATGATTCAACTTGCATTACATGAGTGAAAATGATAGATGTTTAATAGGGGTTACAGGGTGAGATCAGCTGCTATATCTTTTTCGGAAGGATGTTTTGTTTGTTCTACCTCAAGACACATTGTTCCATCAATAGTTGACACTGTGCGTAAACAGGTGGCCTGTGGAAATCTAAGAAACACCAAGTGGCTACTTGCCACATCCAGTCTTCCATGGAAGAAGCTTATATGGTTTGTTGACTTAGAGAAAAATTGGAGCCCATATGGTTTGTTGACTTAGAGAAAAATGGAGCACATCTTCCATAAATACTTATGTTGACTCGACTTTGATGAGCTGAAATGACAGGCAATTAATTGGTGTAGAATTCAGGAATATACTGTAATAATGATAGTTTTTATTATGTGATGAATATTTATAAGGAAAAGATTTTTCTCGACCAACAATTTAATCTATTATTGATTCTCAAATTGATTAAGGATATAAAAAATAGTTATTCCTTGTGCGTCGCTATCATAATATTTCATTATGCTCTCATAAAATTGAGCTTGAACCGATATAATTAAAATGTCTTATTATTGAAAGGTTTTGTGAGGGAGTATGTTAATTAATCAAAAGTATGTACATGGAAAATATAGTGTTAATATTTGATAATTTGATCTCTAACAAAATGAAAATCTATAGTAATATATTTGACAACTTAGACGTATAGATAGGTGGCACCGATATTAAAATTGATCCGAGAGAAGTATATACATGAGAAAATATATTTTTTTAAATCATAGAGAAATATTTGAAAATGCTTGCTTTTCTGAACATATGACAAGCAGGTATATACGTTGTCTTATTCTTAGAACGCCTTAAGTCACGACCACAGCAACGGCGCGCATCGTTCGTAAGGATAGTGTCTTATCTTAGTCATGTCTTACGTCACGATTCAAGACTCGAATGCCTTTTACAAAGAAGAATTCTACAATACATAGTAACGCTAAGATGCATTGAGGTTACCGACAACCAGCAGTTCAGAAACGTGGGCCGGATCGTGCCAATTGGACCGACCCAACATTTGCTTTCACTTGTGCGAGGTTGAGATGCCTTCGATGTTGTTGTGCATGCAATCTCCTGCGTACGGCAGCAGCCACCTTATGCCTTCCAAAATTAAGGTTCGCGGAGGATCCAATAAGAGCAAACAAGCTTCCAAAGTGGGAGAATGGTATTCAACGCAATAATGACAGGGTGATGATATATACAGAGACAAAGCATGATAGCAAGCATCTTTACTCGAAGATTCTGGCATGTAGTTAAGAGTTGGAACATGTCATACTTCCAAGACTAGCTTTAATGATCACTTCTACTTTGCTGGTCCGTACTCGTGTTGATCATTTCATGCGTGCAGCATTGCTTTGTCCTCATTCAACCATCAGTACTTCATTGATTTCACTAACTCATACCCCAAAAAATATGTATCCTTACCTGTGGCAGCAAGAAAGAGAAGCACTTGCATGCAAACGACATCTCTACAATGCCTCAGTCTGCAGACTCACATGCATACATATATGAAAAAGCCAATCGAGAAGAATGGACCACACTGCAAGAACCCCAAGGTCCAGAGAGAGAGAGAGAGAGAGAGGGTTGTATACATAGATCATGAACTGCACATGATGGCTAACGTGAAGACCAAGGAGAATTGCTTCTTCCAACCATTTCTTCTTTGCTGCAGCAGCAATTGTTTTAATGGAAGCTTGCAGCGAAGCCTTAAACTATGTCTCAGCAAGGATCTTGACAGATTAAGATTCTTTGCATGTCTCGATTCTTTTTCCCTTAACCAACAGTTGATCTCATATGAAATCTTGAGATGTTAAGCTCAAAAATGATTGAGGAGATCCAGTTCTCCCCTACAAGCAGGAGAGGATCCTAATTTCTTCCTCCTGAACGAAATCTCACTGAAAGAATCAATCCCCACCCACAGATTATGACAAACATGAGCATTCCCTTAGATGTGATGTTGGACCTAAATTGATTCTTTGGTGCAATACTTGGATATACTCAGCTATATCAGACAAATAATGGCCAGCCTCCAATTCGTCATCTTTGGACGGGACTTTTGTTGTTTGATTATGTAGATTTGGCCAATCACATCCCATCTTATCCTTCGAGGATAGATATAGTTTAGTTCTATCGACTGATCCGATCGATCTCCACTCTCTGTGAGTTGAATATTTCTTAATAATTATTATATCTTGAAGTCACATTAATAGGAAAAATATTTTCCACCAACCATAATTTGACACGCACTATTAGTAAAACTCGAGTGATGGGGACATCAATTCGTAAAATATTTCGCTCTTACCTTGTAGACGATAGGACGGAGAATATTTTGTTCATACCATATAATATTCTCCCTCATTAATCTGATAGAAAAAGTCACTTGGAAAACGATAAACAAGGTTAATTATTATTTACTAAAATTATTTCATTCTTGTCAACTATAGCATCGGATAGATCATGTCGAAAATTCTATTCGACCTTAATCTTCATGTAAGAGTGTACAATCGAGTCTACATTAGCCCCCAAGCAAGTGTTCAAGCTTCCACTCAATCACATCGGACTACTTACACAAACCTAAATCAAATCAGCTTGTTCCAGGTATCATTAATATTTATATTATCGCACATTAATATGCTGACTCATAAAATCTTAATACATGTAGATAGCTATCCAATCTTCCTATTCATGCATCTGTAAGACCAACACACCTACTCGTTAAACCTCAATAAAAAGGCCGACAGTTTGATCTCTGTCAGATACAACAATTGTTTGTACGATTAAATACTTCGATTTGTTGACCGATAAATCCCAATCCCAACACTTAGCTACCAAATCAAAATGGCTATATGACATCTTACCCAACTTCAAAACATGGGTAGTAAAATTGGAAGAATGTGTGAACATATGCTTTGAATGGCGGCCAACAGAGTAACCTCCAAGACTGACATGTAAATTTGTTTGATGAAAATGCTTGTTTTCATACAGAGAACATCCAATCTTTCTATTCATGCACACGTAAAATTTGAATGATATGTTTGTGTTTATGCAGATCTCTCTCTCTCTCTCTCTCTCTCTCTCTCACACACACACACACACACACACACACACATATATATATATATATATATATATATAGAGAGAGAGAGAGAGAGAGAGAGAGAGAGAGAGAGAGAGAGACAGATGCTGATGGGTTTCACCTCAAATTGTTCTGGGAACAGAAGGCAAGAGCATGTGGCTGAAAGCAGCGAGGTGCGCAAGGTCTTTAGCGGCCTCGGGATCTCCACGTCGTCGGCCAACAACCAATGGCTACGGCCTGCAGCATTTAAGACGGACAGCGGCGCCAAGCAACCAAGTGGATGCCTGTCTCGGCCTCTCCGATAACCAATCGACGACCCTTGTGCTTCTTCCCCTCCCACACACACATTCCAGTGCTCCTCGTCACCTTCAGAAAGAGAAAAGAGATCGGAAGACGAAACTAAGCAGCGTTCGATCGGTACATGTAGCAAGGCTGATGTCTGGCTCTGTTGTTTGGGTTGTGTCACCCAAGGAGACCAGCAGGAGCTCTGGGTTCAGCCAGTTCGCGGGGGTGAAGAGGAGATGGTGGAGGAGCAGCAGTGCGGGGTGGAGCTGCGCCCGGTCGGCGTCGACCGCCCGCCGCTCGGTCTCGGCCAGCTTGGTCGTCACACCACCGAGATCCTCCGAGGCGTTGGTCTACGACGTGGTCCTCCGGCAGGCGGCGCTGGTCGGCGAGGCGAGGAGGAAGAGGGCGGTGGACGCGGTGGAAGCCCCGCCGGCGCCGCTGCGAGGGGACCTACTCGACGCGGCATACGAGCGGTGCGGCGAGGTGTGCGCCGAGTATGCCAAGACTTTCTACTTGGGTAATTATGAGACCTTGGATCTGCAGCTCGCTTGGCTGCTGCAGTTCATTCATATCCTTGTGTTGCCTTTGCTTTGATCAGAAGTCAACAAAACTTCACATAATCTCGAGGCATTTGTCTGATTCCAGCCAAAATCTGGACCTTTTCTTCTGCTTTATATGCTTCTGTTCCATGTCGTGTTGTTTCATCAGCCAAAATCCAGATACAGGGGTTCCTCCTCCTCCTCCTCCTTCCCTTTCCTCTTTCTAGGGAACGCATGATGTCTTCCTTTTAAACAGATTTAGTTCAAATGATCACTGTTTCATTTGATGCAATTCAATTATTTTCAGGAACAATGCTTATGACTCCTGAGAGGAGGAGAGCCATTTGGGCAATCTATGGTATGTCACTTTTCTGCTCATGTGAATCTTCTGCAAGTACGTCCACCTCTCTTTAGCCTTGCCAAACCGAAAGGACCTGAAGGATTTCTTGTAGCAGATGATAACCAGCGCACAAGAGCCAAGAAACATATACTCTCTTCCGAGACTAGCTCACTCTAAGTTGCTTAGATTCAGAATCTATGCAAAATTGCCTCGCATAAATCATGACAATCAGGATCGAAAGATCCGCATCACCAGCAAGAACATATAGCAAGCTCTTTCCGTTTCATCATGTGGTTACTGAACACTCACAGAGTTGACTTTTCTGCTTCGATGTTCAGTGTGGTGCAGAAGAACCGATGAACTCGTGGACGGCCCTAACGCTTCCCATATAACACCCACTGCGCTGGATCGCTGGTCGAACAGGTTGGAAGATCTGTTTGCAGGTCGTCCATATGACATGTATGATGCAGCTCTATCCGACACCGTATCCAATTTCCCGGTAGACATGCAGGTAAAGATTCTCCGAGTATGTAGGTATGTAGTTGTGGTGATGCTTGAAGTGGCGGTCTTTCATCTTCCTCCGCGTGCAGCCATTCAAGGACATGATAGAAGGAATGAGAATGGACCTGCGGAAATCGAGGTACAAGAATTTCGACGAACTCTATCTCTACTGCTACTATGTCGCCGGCACGGTGGGGCTCATGAGTGTGCCGGTGATGGGAATTGCCCCACACTCGAAGGCCTCAGCCGAGAGCGTCTACAGCGCAGCATTAGCTCTTGGCATCGCGAATCAACTCACCAACATACTCAGGGATGTCGGAGAGGAGTAAGTTTCTCTTGCATCAGCATCCGTTCCACTGTAGAGATCGATCCTGTGCCGGATCACATTGCTTGAACTCCACTCTGCTTCCATTCAGCTCCAGGAGGGGGAGAGTGTACCTTCCTCAGGATGAACTGGCCCACGCTGGTCTGTCAGATGATGACGTCTTCGAAGGGAGGGTGACAGACAAATGGCGGACCTTCATGAAGGGTCAAATTACGCGAGCCAGGATGTTCTTCGACGAGGCCGAGAAGGGCATATATGAGCTGAACTCAGCCAGCAGATGGCCGGTATGAGATCAATTTAAGCATGACAGAAACCCCATGCGACACTCCTTTCCTCTTCCCGCAAACACTCTCCTATTTGTTCCTCTTCTGTATCTTTCAGGTTTTGGCTTCGTTGCTGCTGTATCGGCAGATTCTGGATGCCATTGAAGCAAACGACTACAACAACTTCACCAAGCGTGCATACGTAGGGAAAGCAAAGAAACTGGCTTCATTACCCATAGCATATGCCAAGGCAGTAATTGTAGGCCCTTCAAGATTTGTAGGAACACTATAAGTATAATCTTCATTTGCTTCCTCATTGCAATCACCAAATGCAAATTCTAAGTTGACTCGTTCTTCTCACCTCAGCGGCTTATATTTCTGGTACTTCATCATTTGTTACAAATACATACCTGTTAAAATGTATATAAATATTTTTTACTTCAAATATATAAATTATTGCACTTATAAATATAAAAAGTATATCGGATGAGAAAATACGAAAAGAGAGAAAGGCTGCAGCAGTTCGTCCAGTACTCGAGTCTACAAGAATTCAATGTTATTCTACATGATGCTATCTAGTAATTTAGTATCAGATATGACAAGCTTCTCATGAATGGAGGTTTGCGGAAACTTCCAATGGATGAATAGAGAACTCACATGAGAGACACTAGTGATGGAGCTTACTGTTTTCCCCTTGCCTGCAGCAACAATTAGCATCAAAGCTTAGCCAACAGTCCATGATTTTGCTTGAAACCTCTGATACATAATGCTCTTCGTATGGCCGTTGACGCAGCAAATATTTCAAATCAGGTCTCTAGCAATGGCATATCACAAAAATGCATTTCTGCTACGCTTGAACCACTCGGACAAATACATCTACCATACTCCGACAAAAGAATTCATGTCGGCATCTGCAGTTGTTTCATTTTCAATCCTTCTGTATCTCTTTACCATGGTTGTAGCCATTTTCTAATGCATTTCCCAGCTGAAACTAGCTGCTGTTTGTTTCACTTGTCCTTCAAACCTCTTTCCCACAATAGTAACCATTTTCTAATGCATTTCCCAACAAAACTTCCACCTACCATTCTGATTAACGAACCACAATCTTAGCCAGAAAATAACCGTTGCTGACAAACCAATTATACTTGTAGAACATCAGAACAGAAAAAAACGCAAATGGGGCTGAAGACTTTCCAAGCCAGAAAATACTTGAGATAACCGTAAAAATGTAGCTGAAGGGAGCATGACAAGAGCTATTGAACCATCAAAGGAATGGGCGTAATCATACCATATCTGCACTGTGAAGGTTGACAGCTCATTTTCTTTCTCGATATACATCTGAATTTGCAATCTGTATTCAATCCCATGAGGCATAACTTTTCATGTTACCTAACTGCAGTTCTTCACCATTGAACTGGGAAGTAAATAAGACCTGTCGATGGAGAGCCAGATGCAGGATTAATAATTATCATATACTAGAAGATCTAACAGAGTTTCTTTGTGGTCAAGAATCCAAATTCTTATTCATTAATGAACACAAAATTGCAAAATAGGCATGTTTCAAGTTGTAGAATCTGCCCAAAATATGGGAGGCTAAAGCATCCCTAAACGGACACAGCTAATCAACCAAGTAAAACAGAATTCCATTCACAAGGAAACTAACGTTTATAGAAAATCCCATACTGGTATGGTAAATTGTAAGGCATTTACATCTGAGACTGGGCAAGTCTGCACATCATTCTGTAAAATTAGTTCATGAAATATATTACTTGTCTACGACTTAATTGGTCTACCATCATGTGGTGCATATAAGCAGCATTTTGTATATTTTAAAACAGATCAAACAACGGCAGCACCAAAAAGATAAGAGCAAAATTGAAACAGTAAGTTTCTTGCAAGTACATGATTACCCGGCTCAACTGAGAGCTATTATGAAATGGTTGTTGTAGTGTAGTAGCTGAGGATTCCTGCATCAATTAAATATTAATAAGTTAATATAAGCAAACAAAAGAATTCAAAGTTTGAAGCATGCAGTTTATATTACATACCTGATTAAATTGTGCAATTCTATGGAAACCTTGTACACCATTAAGTCCAAATTGATGAGCAGATACAAAAGACCCCTGCATAACATTGATCAAGAGCATAAATGCAACTGCAAGTGAATCATACAAAAAATAACAGCACTAATAACAGTGTGCATTTGCATAATGAAGGAGGTACCTGTATGAACTGAGTTGGAACAAAAAACTGTGGAGGATTCCTACCATTAGAAGTAACATCAGTTGATAAGGGTCCTTCAGCAATGCCCACTGGAACTTCTGCCTCATCAGATGCTCCTACGTTAAGTAGAATAGATAACTACATGCTACAGTGTAGAGGATATCGCTTTCTGAAATCCAAAAAACATAAAGAGAAGATGACAACATAAGCATGCAAAGAAAAAGAGAGAAAAAAAATACAATGCTAGAATGAAGTTCCATACAGACCTCATGATCCCTTTTGTCGTTTATTTGAGCCCAGCACATTTAGAAGGCTAGGATGGGGGTCCACATTCTTCTTCCTTTTACCACTTAACCCGTGCGATCCACCACTGTTACTTCCATTCTGAACCAGATTCCGCAGTTGACCCTTTGAGGCAGTCTTCTCAAGTAGTTTGGTGTATAAAATGCTTTCAACCTGTTCCAGAAGCTGATCTGATTGGCTTTCCATGAAAGCATACGTTTCTGCATTCTCTGCAGCCTTCACTGCAATTTGATACAATATGCGGCACAATGAGCGACAACGTCCTGCTAGAGATGATTTGTGATTGCCATCAAGAATAAAGTTATGATTATGTGTTATGAAATGTGCTTTAGCATCTTTCCTCCATCTTTTCAAAATGTAGTGTGGTGGGAGTTCCTTGATGTTTCTTAAGTCGAGTACTTTCAAGGCATGGCAACACTGGACCCCAACAAACTCAAAACTTTTTGCAGCTACATAAGCCTGTACCATCTAACAAGTCAAAAGTAACAAAGTGTGCTTTTGTTTTCTCATCGGTATTAACCTCATACTTGGCTACAGTTCCAACCTCACAGCAGGAATAAAGCACACAATTCCTGAACAGCTCAAACTCTAATCTAATCATCTCAAAGATTGCAGGAGTATATGCATTTGCAGCTTGCCAAAGCATCCGCAGAGGAGGTATTCTGTTCATCCCTTGGTTTGCAAGATAATCAACTTGTCGTTCTGCATATCATTGCTCTTCTAATAACTTTTCATACTGCCTTAAAAATGGCAAAAGATCAATCTCTGGTGTCAAGAATTCATTCATAACACTGTGCAAGTTCTCATTCCGTAGTGTATTTGTTAAGTCTGCAGAAAAAACTTGACGTCCATAGACCAACACCCACTTCTTTTTTCCATACAACTGACCTAACCATTCATTGTCTTTTAGATCATACTTTTCCAGCATTACCTCCCATGCAGAAAGGAATTCCTGCTCCTCCTCAAAGTCATGCATACATCTGCCAAAATCATCTGCAAAAGATTCATAGCCTTGGAAAGCATGACGAAGGTACCTTTTGGCATTCTAATATATGTGCCATGCACAAAGACGGTGAGTTGTGCCAAGCCATGCAGCAGCAATTGCATCACTGATTGCTGAAAACTGATATGTTAAAATTGTCTTTGGCTGTTCTCCACCCGTTGTGTTCTTGAATGTCTCCAACAACCATTTAAAGGATTCTAAACTTACATCATACAGGAATGCAGAACCAAAAATAATTATTTGTTTATGATGATTAACACCAGTGAACAGCACCAAGGGTCGGCCATAATCATTTATTTGATAGGCTGTGTCAAAACATATTATGTCACCAAAGTAATGGTAATCCATGATGGATTTTGGATCTGCCCAGAAAACATTTGTCAGTTGCTCGGCTTCATCAACTTGTATAGCATAAAAGAAAGATGGGTTATCCCCTTTCATCTTTTGCAAATACTCCATCAAAGCACCTGCATCACCACTCTGCAAGTTCTTCATACGCTTTGATCTGAGATAATTTTTGTAACTAGCAGGAATTTGACTGGCACCTTGTCGGCCTCCAGTCTGAAACTTAGCTAACAGCCTTTGTGACCTCAACATTTGAATATCTAAGGGAGCTGTGAGCTGATGGTTATGGTCAGCTACAAATTCAATCACACAATATTTGCCGTCAGGTATAATTTTGATTGCCAAACGTGCCGGGCAACCAGTTCTTGTTTCTGATCCTGTTTTCTTGGCCTCATTTGTTATGTTGGTTGGACGATACCCTTCTCTTGAGCACACATAAACTATAGATCTAGTAACATTCCTAGCAGATTTATCCCACCAACCTTTCCGAACACTGAAACCAACAGTTCCAGCATACCTAATGTAAAACTCATGCCTTAACTTCATTTGAGAAAACCATTCCAACTTTTGGCTCTCCACCTGCATTTAATGCATCATCTGTGGGAGCATGTGATACCACTTCTGTAATTTCCTCGTCCTCTTGGAATCTAACAAGGGGGTAAAGGAAAATCAGTTATTCTAAAAATACTAGCTCAAGTGGTGTTCACAAAAGCATGAAGCGATAGGAGCAACATACGAATCAAAGACATGTAATAGATGCATATTGGAACAATGAATCACTTCTATATCTGCTCGCGGATGATAAACTTCTAAAACCACAGCATCAATTTACATACACTATTCAGTTGGAAAGACTTGCATCATGGAATTCAACAAAGCAACAAACTGTATATTTCTTTGCCAAGAAACTGAGGACAGATTGCAAATCTACACCATAATTTGTAGGTGCAATATCATCCTTAAGCACTAAGTCCCTGACCATACACATTGATTCAAACCATGAAGTCAACTTTGGTTTTATTGGATGAATTAATTGCTTTCAACAACTTGCAGTCCGTTCACAATCCCAAGAAGCACTAGAACGACAAGCAATAAAACCTACATAATCTACACTCTTATTAGCTGTTCACTCTTCTTTGATGCCAAATCTGGCACAGACATTGTGTGTAACATTTGCTCACTTATTACAAATTTCTCAATAAGAAAACAAGCATGGATGAAGGCAACAGAAAACGACAGCTTCACTTCATGCAACTTCAAAGAAACAGAAAGGCAAATTAAATTTGTTTTGTGTACAGTAAGTACACACCATTATTAGTACAAAACCTTTAAGAAATATATTGTGATGCTAAATGCAAGCTGTAGGTAAACCCTTCGCAGATGGAGTTGCACGGTTCATCAGCATCGTGCTTTCTAATGATTCTTCTCAGCAAGAAAACCGGAATGCCAAAATCCAGAGATCCTACTCATATATTCCTGTTGAATTGATCATTATTAAGATTCCAACACAATTAACTTACATGAATGGTAGCACCAAGATATTTCTTTCTTCTCTCTTATATAGGATGAAAGACAAAGTCACACAAATGCTATCTTGATGTGTGACAAAAAGTAATTTTATTCGTGATCATAACATGCTTCATATAAAGAATACTCAATCACTAGTATAAGGTTTTCATCATACATTTTATCACTGATGCTCCTTGTTTATCCATCAAGTCAACAATTAAATATTTTCTCCTAATCTGACGAGGTTATCTTTAAATAATCCAAAAATAGCTAGAAAGAATAAACTAAACATTGACAAGATCTATTGAAAGATGCCAATACGGCAGATCCTGTACTTATTAAATGTCCAAAAAGACAAATGATTCTATAAGCAAAATATGGCTAGACGATGCTGATAAATGACTTACTGACACCAAGAAATACTCAAGAGCTTAGCCTAAGAATCTATAAGAATATCTTCTAACTGCAATTCATCTCTGCTAAGAAATCATCCTCCAATACCCCGCTGATGCCTTCCAGCCAAAGCTTACCTTGAAGGAACCTACAAAGTGTAGGAACCAGTGGCCATTCAACAAAACGTGAACAACCAAACTGCCTGATCGAAAAACTCAATCCATGTGGCCAGAAAGTGTGAGTACTCCAACAATATGATCAATAATTGTAGCCCTCCGTATGTCGCAGCTATGACTAACATCTGGTTCTACTAAAAATTCTTCATGATCCAATATAGTGGGGAATTCTGCAACTAGAAGAATTCATAATCATACCTTGGTAGGCCTTTTTATGCCTGCTCTATTTGTTCGTTTCATCAAGTACATAAGAATTATATCTCTCCTTTCTTCCTCTGTGTACCTATACACTCTCACACCAAGTGCTCTCAATAGCTGAGATTGACTAGCATTGGCTGCAGGGTTTGTCTTACCACCATCCTTCACTCTAGCCTTTGATGCGGTTGCCAAACCAGCTGAAGAAATTGGTTTTGGCCTCACATCTTTCTCCATAGATGACTACTTTTCTAAGACTGCCACTCTGAACCTCTTGACCATGATCCTCTCCAGCCGGTGCTACCTTCTCAGTAGAACTCTCAACTTAAAAACCTCTGCAGCATCCTGATCTTTCTTAGCTCTTGACACCTCCTGCACGAGCCCCTGAGCTCTCACTTCCGTTTCCCAACACTAGAAATGGAACTCCTCCTGTATATCAGATAATTGCCCCGCCAACACAAGAACCTCTGCATGATGAGCGCTCTGCTGCCTGCCGACCTACGGTTAGAGCCCGTCTGAGCCTTGAACCCCATTTTCTCACCGTAGCCGTAATAGAAGGTCTTCGCGGCCTCCACGGACTCAAATTCCGTGCCTACCGCCGGCGCCAAAACCACGCCCTGACCTTCACCAGCCGGCACATGACCTGGCAGAAGCCCGTGGTTGTGCTCGGCGACAAACTTCGAAACCATCCAACTGTCATTCTCATTCCGCACCACCTCCATCATCGCCTTGCACCTGCCCTCCCGCGGCGGCGGAGCTGGAGGCTGGCCGTCGCCTGGGGTGCCGACCTGCCGCATGAGGAGGTAGCTCCGCATGTCGTAGGCCACGCGGAGCGTGCACTCCTTATAAAGCGTCTGCCCCCCCCAACGACGGTCCCATTTTCGACGGCTCCTCCACCGGCGGCCCTTGTGAACTCTCACCACGCGGCTCCTCTTTGGGCTCCACCATCGCCGTCGACCCTTCCTCCTCGTCAGGGGCCTCGTCCGCAATCTCCGAAATGAGGGCCATCTCTACGTTTTTCCTCAGAATTGCAACCCTAGGACAAAAAATATTCAATCTTTAACACAATCCGAAGCTCCAACTGCGCCAAGGTAGTGAATTCATGAGGAGAATCGAAACCCTACCGTTTCTTTTTCCTCCCTCTTTCGGGAAGCGGGAATGTAAATGGACGTCCAATTTCCGAATTCACTCTCCGATTCGCCTCCGTGCATCTATTGTTCTCCCCTCGCCCCGTTTTAAGATCTTCCATGAAATGGAAGCTGTAGGGGATGGGATCCCCGCCGTGCTCCATCTTGAATCTTGGTCGGCTGCGGGAGGCGACATGAGAAGCAGTGGGATTTGCTGCGGGAACATTTCGATGACATGAGAAGGTACACTGGGAACTCCTTGTGGGCCCAAAGCAGGTGGGTTCTGGGTTTTAGTCGAATCAACGATGAGCACGCGTCCGATAGTCGATCTTGGTGCTGATGTCAATGTTGGCGTCCGAGTCCAAAGCGGAAGCTTAAAATTCCAATGGTTGATAGAAAATAATATTTTTCCTTTATATTTTATCCATCCTTTATCGAGAGAGAGAGAGAGAGAGAGAGAGAGAGAGATAGAGAGATACTACTCTTCAATTTTCTATCTTCTATTAGATACTTGCTTCTGTGAGGATTTTGAGTCAGAGTGAAATAGAGTTACTATATGCATTCAACCTTTTTTTTTATATTACTACTATAATTTTTTTATTTTTATCTTAATCTTTATTTTACACATCAATATATTTATATATATATATATATATTAATTTATCTAAAATTTTTATTATAAATATATATTTTTACTCTATAAAAGATATATGATGAAGACGGGAAGTAATTCCACTCGTTACCAACTAAGATAATTGACATACTTAGAATTGTCTTTTGAACTCTCACCGTTTGCCATAGAAAGTTGGTTATCTGTAGCAATGAAAAATATACTCCTGTTAATTTCCTACAAAATCATACAACATTAAGATTTTAGCTGCTACTCCCATGTCAAACGATGTGTTATGAACACATAGATCAGTGCATAAGACTCCAGTACAGATTCTGAGAAGAGCAGCTTGAGATTAAGGTCTGAAACATAGATCAGTTGGCTTCTGAAATATGACAAGTCCAAACATGAATTACAAGTAGATATACAAATCTTAAGTACACCACACTAAGCATAGACTTTGTGTTATGAACACAGATTGAGCACCTTCCCTTTCTTTCTGCACCTATCTGCAATACGCAATCAGGAAACAAACAATATGATTAAGTGACATTTTTTATGTATCTTATTCAGATGCAATTTGCAAATATCAACTTGGCAAACTTAGAGAACAGATTCCAACCTTAGAATAAGAGACATATGCCCAAGATGAACTCGGCTTCATAAGCACAAGTCAAACCAAAAGAACAAACTTGGAATTGATTCCAAGCTTAGAATAAGAAATAGGATGAGTAACAATGCACTAAGAACGAGCAAACTAAAGCATCAGTTACAGTCGATCTAAATTAAAGAACAAACTTTAATAGCATGAGTTATCACAGTGTAAAAGCAACAGTATTATTCGTAGCAGCACAAGAAAAAGGAACCATCTTTGTTATGGCGATGTGGGCGTTTCAGCTCACCTTCACCTGCGGATCACACGTCTTTGGCGATGAGCTCCCCGTTGACCAGCTCCCTGTACGCGGCCACTGGCCAGATGAAGCCCCTCCAGAGCAGCCTGGTGGCGAGCGGCACGTCGATGATGATCTCCTTCATGGTGGGTTTCTTGTCGTCCCGGATGGCGATCAGGTAGCTCCGCCCGACCCACCCGATCCAACCAGCGATGTAGAGGAAGAGCAGGCCGGGGGTGATGAACTCGCCCCAGTGCCGCTGGTCGCCGTTGACGATGAGATGGGGCAGCCCGTCGGAGCCGCACAGGAGGCCGAACTTGCCATAGTTCTCGAACCGGCGCTTGGTCTTCTCGATGGAGGCCTTGATGGCGAGAGCCGGCGCGGAGTCGGGCGCGTACTTTTTCAGCGAGGCTTCCAGCTTCTTGATGGATTGCTTCTCCCGCTTCGCGAAGGCCTTGGACTCCTTGCACGGGGTGAGGCCGGAGATGTCAGCGACAGCGGGGGGAGGGGCGGCGGCGGAGGAGAGGAGGAGGGAGGAGAGCGCCAAGGCGGCGGAGAAGGTCTTGAGAGAAGAAGAGACGGAGTCATCTCCTTGTTGTGGCTGTTGTTGTTGGGGTAAAGAAGCAGAGCAGGAGATGGAGAAGCGAGGCCTAAAGGTGGCAGCTTTGGGCTTTGGGGCGAGGGGTTTGGAGAGGGTGGGGATGGAGCACAATGAAGCCATTGTTGTGTTCTCTTCTCCTACTTTCTCCTCCTCCTCCTCCTCTTCCTTTTGATCACTGAACTGCTCTCCTTGCTCCGCTTCAACACCACTACTTCTCCTGCGTCGAGGAGGAGAGAGAGGAGAGATAAGGAGAAGGATATGGGGAGGGGATAAGGTGGGGAGTAATAGGGTGAGTTGGCGGAAATGGATTGGGGGAGGGAGTGCAGTTTGGAGAGTAGCTCAGATTTCCTTGAAACCTTGTGGTTGTGGTGAGACCATTTAAGATGATGTTGCTTGGTGTTCTCGAAATATATGTCCCATAATACGATTCATTTGCTGAATGTGCTGCAATCTGTGAAGATGAGCAAAATTGTATGATAATTTTTGATGAAATTATAACAAATATCTTCCCATACAAAATACCTCCTAAACTAATAAAATTCATTAAAATAAAAGATAAATTGCATATAATAAGACCTGTCGTTACAATTATGCACAACCAGCGAGAGAGCTTTCTAAGTGTCACAATTTCTTTTTTGGAGATAAATCCATTATTTCTAAATTTTACGGAGACATAAATGTAAGAAGATATGTTGTTGTAATACTTTTTCCTTTTCGCAACAGGCGTGATTAACTATGCAAACCGTGAGTGAGAGAATACAAAAGACATGCACTTTGGACATACTTCGTGATTCGTGCATCACCGAGCCCCATAAGTCGTGCCCATACTATAAACAGTGAGACACGACAGCAAAACTAACTTCCTCCCGTGATCATTTCATTCCCTAGTTGGGATACTTCTCTCTCTCCCACCTCCCTCCTCCGCCTTCTTCTTGTTCTGCCTCTTTCATCCCCTCCCTCCTCCTCATTCCCTTCTTCTGCTCCTCACATCTCCTCCCCTCTTCGTCTGCCCTCTTCTGACGGTAGGCTGCTTTCGAACTTCCCTTCCGAGTCCGTTGCGGCCGTAGTCTTCCAGGAGCGTCCCGTTGGGAAGCTCAAGGCGCTGGACTTTGTTGGGTCCGAATCGTTCCGTCGTAAGAGTTTTCTATTACGATATTGGATCTTGAAGTTCCCCTCTCAATTTTTCGTTTGTGATGTTGAATCTTGAATTCACAGAGTTATTAGTTTTACCATCTTCCGACGACAGGCGCCTTTTGAACTTCCCATTTGAGTTCATCGCCACACCGCAGGCTTTCGGGAGGTTCCTGTTGCGGAGCTCAAGGCGCTGGGCTTTGTTGGGTCCAGATTGGGTCTTACTTTCCGTCGTTAGAACGGTAGGTAATCTGTGGTGTTCTTGATCTCTTTCTTTTTTGACTTTTCTATTACGATCTTGGATCTGTTAATGATGAGAAACACACGTTTTCTTCTTTTGGTGATAAAGGAGACCGCTCCATCCCTCCTCACATTTGTTTTACCGCGAAATAGTACTCAAAACCCTCAAAAACATCAAAACAGAGAGAATCGATAAGTTGTACTCACAGAGGACCTGAGCAGCATCGTTGGTCTGATCCAAGAAAACAAGTGAAGCACAAATCTCAATAGAATGGGAGGAGAAAGATCGAGTCCGATCCAAGAAAACAAGTGAACAATGACATATCTCCAAAGAATGGGAGGAGTGGATCGAGAGACAATCGAGAAGTTTTACCATCTGATCGAGGAGGTAAAAGAAGACCTCTCCATTCCTCCTCGCGTTCGTTTTACCGCCTCATGGGATTTTGATGGAAATAGAACTCAAAACCCTCAAAAAATATCAAACGAGAGGAAATCGAGAAGTTCTACTCACGGAGAACTTAAGCGCCATCGCTGGTCTAATCCAAGAAAACAAATGAACCACACATCTCGACAGAATGGGAGAGGAAAGATCGACTCCGATCTAAGAAAACAAATGAACAAGGACAGATCTCAAAAGAATGGGAAAAGAAAGATCGAGAGAGATCAGCGAATGATCGAGAAGTTCTTTTCACCTGATCGAGGAGGAAGAAGAAGACCGCTCCATCCATCCCTGCGTTCGTCTTACCGCCTCATTCGATTTTGACGGAAATAGAACTCAAAACCACAACACCAGAGAGGGGCGGCATTTATAGGCAGAGGTCGTCACGTGCTGTGCACCTGATAGTTTCTAAACCGCCATAGTCCATAACGACACGGATCACAACTTGAGTCGCGACTCCACTCTGACCGACTGCCAACTGTTGTGGCCATTAGGAGATTATCGGATCAAATCCACTCGGATCCGAATCCGGGTCCGTAAATTTTTAGGACCTTTTAACTATTACAATCCTTGTCGATACACGTGATATTAAAAAAATAATGGTGCAATCCTTCTTGGATCATTACTTACTGCTTCTTAAATATTTCTTATCAGGCAAGACTTGAGGCATCGATCTCTGGTCCCATCGAGCAAAAGAATATGATTCCAAGCTTTCCCAAGCAAACAAGTAATCAAAGAGGAAGGTGATCTGATCCTTCAAAGAAGAAAAGAAAAAGAAAAGGACAGAAAGGACGATCCTCATGTGAAACACTTTCATGTTATCCTCATATGAACTGATTAAAGTATGGTTTAGCGTTGTTGATACATTTTTTTCTTCTTTGTTGGCAAAGCCTTCGAACAAGTGAAGTGTTGCTTATGGAGCACAGGTAATCCAACTGATGCTTCGAAGGGAATAGTATAAAGTGGAGAGCTTCCAACGCAAGGAAGAAAATGAAGACTCTGACTTCTGACCAACAAGTAGCCACATGTTCTCCAACAGATAAGAACACGTGAGACATGGCCACAAAGTTCCCCACATTTCTCTCGTGCTGCATGCGTTCCTTGGAGGAGTAGAAGAAGACATGCATGCATGCTGATTCCCTTCAACTTCCGAGGAGTTGATTCATAGAGAGAAGGAGCCCCATGCTTTCTTGAGCTCGCAGGACTGCGTGAAGGTCGAGGCGGCGATGATGTGCAGCAGCTCGAACAGCGCCGGAAGCGGAGAACTCCGAGCGCCGAAGGGATGCGTGCCGGTGCTGGTCGGAAGTGGGAACTCCGAGTTGGAGAGGTTTTTGGTGCCTGTCAAGGCCTTCAAGCACCCATCTTTTTCTGGTTTGCTGGAGATGGCATCTCAGGAGTTTGGGTACAAGCAGAAGGGCGTTCTTCGGATACCCTGTGACGCCCAACAGTTTCGCCGTGTGCTTGACGTGATTGCAGAAATTTGAATGCAATGAAGGGTTGCTTGCTTTCTTCCCATCTCCTACATGCATATCTCTCTCTCTCTCTCTGTGATGACGAGGTCTTCTTTATTGTGGGAATGCAAAGGGAACTCTTAAGGTGGAAACCGTCCATGAAAGCCATTAATGTCACAGGATGATTTTTCACGTTGATGCCTAAATTGTTAACAGCTATCAATCCACTTAAAAGCGTTAGACCCAAATTACGAAGTTTGATCGACTCATATGTTAATGTTAATAAACTACTTGTAAACATTGTGGCCAAGTGATCAAAGTTCACAGCTTTCCTCGAAAGTTTAGCGATTAGTCAACGTTACATACCAAGAGGAAGTGTGGGGCTTATTTGATGCCTTGATTCACAGGAAAGAAATGGAATGGTCGGTGACAAGGACGAAACATGGAAAACATCTGCCTCCTGTAACCATCATAAGTAGAGGACCACGAGAACAGATCATCCTGCGTGAAATGAATGTGTCCCAAAAATATAAAAAGGTCTCTTACATTATTCTCCCAAAAAATTTCGATTATTGATATGTGTGGATCTCTCGGCTCGGTTATATAACATATCTATTCACTCATGAAAAAAAAAGATAAAACAAGTTGGAGATGCGGGGTATCGATCCCCGTACCTCTCGCATGCCAAGCGAGCGCTCTACCATCTGAGCTACATCCCCGGATTGAATAAAAACTCATCTCAGAAATATTTATAGTTATATACAAGAAATATAGAAAGCGATTACTCATTACAAAGTTCTCCATGTCAATTTATAATATATTAGAGCCAGGCGATAAAAACGATCGCGATGGGACTCGAACCCACAATCTCCCGCTCCGGAGGCGAGCGCCTTATCCATTAGGCCACGCGATCTTGTTGTAGGGTTTTAGTAATTATTTAATATAAAGTAAGATAATAAATGGTAGCACAATAAAACCACGAGATGAACACGTCCCAACAAGTAGACATCAGCACGTTAGAAGCAGACAATAGAAATGAGAATGAGGGCTTCCAAATGCAAAAAAGAGGAACCAATAGCACAGATTAATTAGAAGAAATAGTGACATCTGTTTTTTAACCATTCTTTCACATCTCCAGTTTAGCTGTGCGAAGCTTTGGCTGAGATTCAAATAATTTATTAGTTCATCTGTCATTTGTCAATCACGAGTAAGTGAGTTCTTCGGTTTCGGTTAAGTGAGTTCCCAAATGTCACAACTGCTGGTGTAGTATACAGCAACCTCCCTCCAAACTTCTGAGCTCTCCACCAAGATCTGCAGTGGTGACTGTAGCATCGGGTTTCAATCCCCACTCCGTCCAAGACCCGATCGTAAACTGCTACATCAGTTTTTCCAATCCGATGCGGACCTTAAAATCATACAATGGCCATCTCTGTTCACTATGCCAAGATCATATATATTCCGCTAAACATCAATTTAGAATTCAAGTGGAGCAATTTACCAAAGCAAGTACGCAAGCAGTCACGCCAGTGCCTGCAAAGAGATGGTTTTCATTCAACTTACGAGACTTACCTTAGGTAACTTTCCAGTGCAATAATAAGTAATCGTAATTCAGCATAGGTTTTTTTTTTTTTTCCTCCTAAGTCATCATTGAAGGGAGAAGAGAAATTATGATAATTATGCTTAGATATTGACACTAATAAGATCATTTAGTCCAACATTGATTGAAGAGTACAAGAACCAATGACTCATAAGTTCGTCAGGTCTTCCTTATGTTCAGAGGTACATTTTGGAGTTCACATGTTGTTCCGAAAAGGATAAAATCGTACGGGTACGCCCATCACCCAAAGCGAATAATTCCTCGTGAACCTACAGGCCACATCAACCAATGACAGACCAAATTATCCCTTATTAAATTATGAACAAAAGGTTAAATTGTGAACTATCAAACATCCGCAAAAGACGTCGCTATTAAATTATCATGTCTATTGTTTGGGTCTTGATTGTTGAAATATGATTAATTAGGCACGTATCATCGTTTATAAAATAAAGTTTAAAGGACATGAAATCAAATTATCAAAATGGCTAGGATCCATAAATCAATAAAGTGAATATGTGGTGGATCTTTTCTCAAAATTATTTTTTTAGATGTACCTTCACGATTTTATCCTTTCGAATAAGCATGTAAATTCTAAAAAGAGGCTTTTTAAGGGTAAGAGAGACCTGATAAACATATGAGTCGTTGATTCCCATACTTCTCAATCAATGTGAGACTAAATGGTTTTATCAGTGCTCCCTTTCGTAAGGCAGCTAAGGGCTCATAGCCAAGGTGCATGGCTCGGGCTCTCCTTCTAATGTCAATTTAATAAGGGACCATTTGGTTGGCCGACCATTGGTGCGGCCCATAGGCTCGCGAGAAATTATTCGTCTTGGACGATGAGCATATTCGCACGGTTTATCCATTCGAAACATGTGAGCTCCAAAAGGCGCCTTTGAGAGTAAAGAAACCCGACGGACTTATAAACTCTTGAATCTCGTACTCCTAAACTAACTTGCGACTAAATGGTTTCATCACCAATAAAATGCACCAACACTAGCATAAAACTATATCATCCTGACATTACTATCGCAATTAAAACATACGGGCCACTTTGAGTGTTGCAAACATATTTTAAGATATGACATCCTGCCCTTTCACAATTGTGGATCAGGCAATATTTGTTCAAATATGTGAAGTATGTCCTAAACAAATACCTAATCATAAGGGCTTACAAAAACTCTCCTAGGCTATACTTAATAAGGTCCAGAGAAAAAATAATTATTTACAATAGATATTTAATCACATCGCACAATAAATTTTTTTATCATACAAAAGCGGAGAAAAAAGACAAGCTGACTCCAAATAGTCACATGTTTTATAAAGAAATCATTATGGTAAATACATATTGCATATATGTCATATAAAAGATACAAAACTTATTCTCTTGCAGCTTTGACAGTAGTGATGACCTCTCTGTAGCTTTAGGACTTCTCTGGTCTCCACACAAATGTTGGATAATGCAATGGCAAGAAAATGATCTTTTGTTAATTTAAATATCATGAAATATCTTTTCTCCATAATGCATTCTTGTGTCGTCAAAGGTTAAGGGCAACTCTCTATCATCCCCTATCCTTTTCCTCCATTCATTCCTCTCTTTTTCAGTAGTGATGGCAAACATCATGACAGTGGTGGCAGATGATAAATGTGATGGCTTCCACAAATGACAAATGCAACGATAGTAACTTCTCCTATATTTCGCAATGATACTCACTGATTTTTTTGTACTTTGTATTCTGCTTCTCCTCCCCCTCCAATGATTATGCACTAATCTATAGATTTTTCCAAACATAAAACACAAGAAAAGCCAGAAAAGTTTGTTCATATAGGACTTCCCATACAAAGGGAAATAACTTGTTCTGTGTATGTATAATTTACAAAAAAATAATAATTAGAATGTGCCATTTGCAAACAACTAACATCCCTATGATTATGCAATTATTTGGAGGTATATATATATATACCTCCAAATTTTAGGATTTGACATATACATCCCTCTAAATCTATAATTATGATTTAACATTTGTCCAAAAAAAGTCAAATTGACTTCTATTTATTTCCATCAATTAATTGGCTCCTCCTATTTCTCAATGTTTCTAATGAGTATTTGTTAATGTCAATTTGAGTATCAACATAGTGAAGTTGGTCATTTGATGGAGACTTAACTACAATGACAATAAGTCATTATGTTTTACAGGGATAAAATATAAAATATATATATGAATATGTATATGCAAATTTGCCAATTATTTATTATGTAGGTAAAAATAAGGGAGATTTGGCTGTGTTTATTGAAGATGGAACTATTAGTTCAACATGTTAGGTGAAGGAGAATTTAATGATCCAATGAATAGAGTCTGTGTACAGGATTTTGCAAGCCATGGTTTGGTGAATTGGGTTCCTCTGCCTTCTCTTAATATACTCACAACATGTCATGTCATATCAAGGATGATCTGATCACTAGACAAAGCACTCACTCCACTTTGATTTAAAGATCACTAGCTACATGAAACATGAGCTGTGTTGGACTGTTCTTGCACCTGTTCTATGAGTTTGGACAGGTCTAATCTATCTTGTGCCCTACTTGTGAGCCTGTGTTAGTCTCAAAATGCAAATATTTAAATGCAAGTTGGAAGATGATCATTAACTTCTTGATTCTTGTTATGCATTTTCTTTTAATCTATTGTACACTAAGTTGGTTAAAATGAACTTAAAATGTATATTTTTTTTTATAGAATGACCAAGTTTAGGCATTTATAATCTCAATAGTTTTGTGGTTTTATTATTTGATTGATATTATACTTTATCTCAAGATTGGTGACCATATGATTACTATATAATATTTGCCCACATTATTACCACATCCAATGCATCAATCATTGCTATAAATCTTCAACCATTTTGGTTTACTAATTAGAAAGTTTGAATATTTATTGATACTTTATTTACTACTAAAGTTATTTTTTCAATTACATTTAAGTATTTTTATTTATAAAACATAAAAAAACTAATTATTAGTTACTTGTTCACTAATTTTCTCTTACTCATTTTATTATGAAAATACCTTAAATATCATATACTATATATTTTACACAACATATTTAATTTTCTAAAATAAATTGTTAAATCTCCTATCTAATAATTGATCATGCTGGTTCAGCCAGTGATCTTTTTATTTTATATCTTCAACCACAATCATTTATTCAACAAAAAAAAAAAAGGTGTTGATGATCCTACTTGTGAGCTTCAATGCTATAATTTTTAATGATATATCACCACCTAAAAGATGCATCATTCAAAATATTTTGTACAGATAAAAAGGAAAATAGAAGATCTTCTGAATTAGCAAATAGATTACCCTCTTTGGTGTGATGGAGATGAGAAGGGTGGCATGTCCAAAGTACAAGTGAAGAACTGGCTTTTATTCCCCCCCCCCCACCCCCCACTTTGCTTAATAGTTTCAAACAGTACTAGAGACAAAAAGGACTCTCCAATCAATGTGATACCTAACTGCTTTTAGTTTTGACAAGACTGACAATGGATCAGCCTTTTGGCTTTATAAATAATTATCATTTACACATTTATCCAAAATTATTGACCTTTTTTTTGTGAAGTTCAAAAAACATCTTTTGTTTTTTGTTTTTTTCTTTTCCAAGTTCTGAATTCTTAGTCACAACCAATCTATTTGCTGAAAGATTGATTGAATATGACAAAACCCAATTTAGCAGCCCTATCACCAAATGCTACATAAAATATGTCTCATCAGCTACAACCATACCAAAAGTGATCATTCCTATCCTCAAACGCTACATAAAGAATGTTTTTTAATCTTCAGTAAAAAAAAGAGCTTCACTTCTTTATTGCCATTGAACCCAAAATGATATTCTTATTCAAAGAAAAAGTTTCATCTTCTACCTCACCTAATCCAACATATATAGAAAAGAGTAATATAATGAATCAATTACCTATTAATCTCACTCATATATCCAACCTTGAAAGAACTCCTACATTAGACCTATAACTGATCCATTAGTTTATCATGACTCCATTAGTCATGTCAATAGCATTGCTCTTGTAGAAAAATATGATGAATATAAATAATTATACCCCTCCAATTATATTGTTAGATCACTACAGAGTTGCTTTGTTCACTTTAGGGGGAAAAAAAACTAAAAGCCAAAAATAAAAAGTCTAAGAAAAAGAAGACAAAATTGCACATATATTTCTTCCAAAATGATTTTGTATTATCACTATAAATTTGAGTATATAGGAATTATAGTACCAGAATGAGTTGTAAAAGAAAGAAGTCTTAACTGTTTTGTAAATATCATGTGTATTTTTAGGTTTTGATAAAGAAAAAAAAAAGTGATGAATGCTTTTAAGTATTTTTTAGGTTTCTCTTTATAAAGTCTAAAGAATATGCTTTATATGATTTACACAGAGAGAATAAAATATATAAATTTTTAGAAGTTCAGTATAAAGAGAGATTGTGTAAGTTAAGATAACTCACATAATAAAAAAATTAATTCTTTTATTATTACGAGCATTATATAATCATATTAAGTCTTAGTATGTTTTTAATTGTTAGTCTTTGAATTATATATATATATATTATATACTTAATCACTTTAAAATGACTTGAATCAGTTTCTTGATATGAATTGATTTAAAAATTTAGAAAAAAATTAATTGAAATACAAGGATAAAATTAAGATTAGAAAAAAAATGCTTTAGGCAAAATCTAGATAGAGAACATTTAAGAGAATTAAAGTCAAAATAAAAGTCAAAATCGAAAGAACTGCTTCCTATTCTCATAATGCCCCTACTACTACGTAAGAAAGAGGCAAATTTAAGAGAGTATTAAAGAAGCCAACCCACTTCAGAACCGACTATTCTCTTCCATTTAATTGCGTTCTCTTCCTACGCACACTTCGATGCTTATTTCTTCGCTCTCTTATTCGTCGCTGCTTTTATTTATGAGGCGAAGTGCCACTCCTCCCTCGGCCGACCAAGTTTTGCTCCCAGATCTCGGCTCCCGGGAATGCTAAACCTGGAATCGGATTCGAAGGAGGGGGCTGCGAGTATGCTTCTCTCGATCGGTTCCGCCTTAGATCAGTCTTTTGGGCGTTAGCTTCTGTCTGCAGGACGCCATGAGCAGAATCGACACGGAGAGAAACCCCTACCCCAACGATGGTGTTAGGGAATTGGGAGATGGTAGCGCAGGTTAGTTCTTTTGTTTCTTCATTTTTGGTGTGGGTGTGGTGGAGGTCCTCGATCTGCTATGGTGCTACGATTTTGGTGAACGTGGTTGCTCTTTCTTTTTGGTTGGGCTTTGGAAAGGATTCGATCTTTTAGTTGTTTGTTGAGGGTTTGGAAGGGCTTCACATGTATCTGCTGTGGTTATGGCGAACCTCGATCTGTGATGGTGCTACAATTTTGGTGAACTTGGCAGCTGTTTCGTTTAGTTGCGTTTTAGGCGAAGAGTCGATCTTCTAGTTGTTTTCTTTGAGGGTTTGGAATCGCTTCACGTGTAACTGCTGTGGTTATGGTTGAACTTGATCAGTGATGGTGCTACAGTTTTTTGGTAAACTTGGCAGCTGTTTCTATTTGCTCTGGGTGTTGAAAAAGGTTCGATCTTTTACCTGTTTCTTGACGGTTTGGAATGCCTTCACATGTATGCTGTGGTTATGTGGACGTCGATCTGTTATGGTGGTGCTTTGTTGTCTGGGTTTAGGAAAAGATACACTCTTTTAGTTGTTTCTTGAGGGTTTGGAATGGTTTCACATGTGACCGGAAATTTAGATGTTTCATGGGTGAGAATAGTCTTACTTACGGATGTGTACATTAACGATGAGCTTGTTTAATTCCTCCTCCTAGAGCGTTTTTATTGCTGGTGTGCGTGACATTCCGTGCTTGAACTTCTGTTCTAGTTTATGCGGATCATTCTGAATGCTGCTTCATGATACATGAATCTTTCGTTGTGCTTAAGTTCCTGTGTCGATTTATTTTTACATGCATATGTATATTCTTGGTCATGCACTTTATCAGTTGTTGCCTGAGTTCAGTTTACACCAGAGGTTTGTCAACGATTCTTCCCATTTGCAAAATTGACCCTGGTAACTAATTCGTCCCTGATCACTAAACTCAGTGCATTTTGTTTTGCTCATTTCTTGTTACCTAATCTTCTGAAGGTTTATGTCACTATCATTAGTTGTCTTTTCCATGCATTTGCAAGAATCTAATTTGATTAATGCCACTTAAGACTTGTTACTTGGCCTTCTGCTCTCTGCAGATAATGCTCTGTTTGATGCCTCACGATATGCATTCTTTGGTAAGGATGTCATGGAGGAAGTTGAGTTAGGGGGTCTGGAAGATAAGGATGGTGATACTGATGGTTTTGTTGATCTTAATGATGAGAAACACACGTTTTCTTCTATTGGTGATAAAGAGGTGACTTTTCTTTTTTACCCAAATAATAGTCAGACATACCTTGATTGAGACTAGTTCAATATATTTTTTCCACGCAAATTCCAAGTCTGGATAAAGAAGGAAGGTTGTTGGTGACAACTTGCATAAAACTTTATTAAATTTCATGTTCATGGATCATACACAATTTCATTTTAGTTCTAGGTCTTCTTCTTGAAGTGATGCAAAGCATCTATATTATCTGGGTGCTCCTAAATGCAAAGGGTGGATTAGGAGGTCACCTAGAAGCGACATATCACATCGACAACCAAAGGTGATGCAAATTTAGGAGTTATTGTATTATTCAAGATTAATGCGAGTAAAGAAATTATTTCAAGACTATAAGATTGGATTACCAACTTAGATAAGAGCTGATGATTAGGAGAAGAAATAACATAATAAAATTACAAGAAATTAATGATGTCATTTTTGTCATCCTTGAATTGGGTGATAGGAGCCAACTTGCTTCATGCTTTACCACTTTTGAATATTGAAATGGCCCTTTTTAATGACATCATGGTATGCAAGCTAGAATGTTATACTAATCTTTGATGTTGTTGAGTTCTCATGGTCTGGTTGCTCACATGGTTGATTATGAATAGGCCAACATCCAATGGGCTGCCATCTTATAGGTAGACTTGTGATGCCATAGACCTCTCACGTAGTCAACCACCGATATGGCCAATCTTTAATAGTTTAATCTTCTGGATTGGCCTTTGATCTATGGATTTTCTGGTATAAATGAGGTGATTTAATTAGATTCATGGTGCATGTGGGGTAGAAAGAGACACATGAAGACTTTATGAAAAACAATAAAAGACATTGCGCTGCACAACTTAATAGCGGGAGAAGATACATGTATATAACCCCAAATACTTGGGACATTAAGGCTTGTTGTTGTTGTCATTGACTCATTGTATAGAGGCTATAGTTTGTTCTCATAATTTTTTGAAACTTTCTATAAGAGGAGCAGAAGTGGTTATTGAATAAGTAGTTAACTTTCTGTTTTTCTTGTTAGTATCTTTACACTTTCTGGACAAGTATCAATTGTTATAATTGTCTTTTTTATATTTTAAGTGAGGTGGTTAGCAAATTAATGAGAATTCACTTACTGTGTGAACATGTTCTAATGGTTAAAGGGAGTTCTTTAATATGGATTTAGTTTGGAAATTGTCAGTGGACTGAATCTAAAATATTAGATGCTTCACTGTTCACCAAATACAGGGTAAAGAAGATACCATGCCTTTTTAAAAAAAAAAATCATGTTCATCTGATATATAAAATCTTCTCAGTTAAACTTTTTGTTGTACTATCATCTTCACTCTTTTAGTTTCGTCTTCTCTTATTTTTATTATAGAGATATTGATTTCTTTTAATTATGTACTCGTGTACTAGTACTTGAAGTAAGGACCTTGTATCTGCTTGCTCTATCATTTTGCTTGTTGCCTAAATATAACTTTGGTGTAAATTCTTTTCCAACTGTCTTTTAAATTTGTTTTCTGCTGATTTTTTTGTCGTAAAATATAATTGATTTACCTTTACATCATGACAATAGCCTAGAAACTCTGATAGCTAAAATTGGGATTGTTTTTGTCATATTTGCAGTTTGAAGGTTTTGCATCCTTATCTGAGATTGATGACCTTGAGAGCACCTTTAGGAAGGTATATCTCCAGCTATTTCTATTTTAGTATTTACTCTCTGATGCAATTGCTTTTGTCATCTCATGATTGAAATGAATATCCTTGTTTATATTTACCAATTACATACGATGCACATATTAAGTGCAAAAAATATTGTAAGGGCAAAGGTTTCAAACAATTGGGTTAAATGTATTGCTTATTTTCTTTGCAATAAGCACTAAAGTTATTGTTGAATAAAGTACAAAATAATTGCATAAAACTTTACCAGAAACAATAAAAAGATTAAATACTCTTGTTTTAACTAAAGATATTCCTTACAAGAGCTCAATGGCCTAAAAAGTTCCATGTAGCTGACCCTGATTGGTTGGAACATTATGTCTTGTTGTTTATTCTTATTTATCCGGTTCTAGATCTAGTATCAGATATTGAATTTATACGATAAAGTCCGCTAAAGTTTCTTTTTGCATGAAAGTCACCGCACAGTCCTTAGTTCTTGATCATAAATGGTCTAGGTTTGATTCAGAGGAAATGGTTATAATATGAATTAGCCTTCATGCCTGTTATCATTGGAGACAATTTTTTAATGTTGTTCTGGTAATGGTGAAGACGGGAGCAAGCTACTTCTGTTTGCAACTTATTATGATAAACAAGGATGTAGTTTCTCTCATTCTATTTGGGAACAAAGAAAACTCAAGGAACGACACACACAAAGTGTAGTGCATTGGATTGGCAGAACCTGAACTGGTGATTTCTGTCATACTGCTAGAAATCAGCTGGAACCTTGTAATGATACAGAGGCAAAAGTTTGGTAAGGAGTCTCGGTGAGGGTGGAGAACTTGAATCTGCCAAAATGATAGAGTTGTCTTTGGAAATGAAACTTGTCTAGCATTTCCTAAGGATTGATACTTGTTGAAAACCAGATAAGAGAGTGGATGCGAGACTAATGGATTATGCAGACTTCAACAGACAGTTTATTCCTATCAAAAACTAACTCATTATGATCCTGGCAATGAAAAGCTTTTGTTATTATTTCTTTTTAATAAATGTCACATCTGCTGATTTTAGGTTTCCATATTACCATGACAAATCATTATTGTTCGTTTTTATGGACTTCATCCATGCTATTGGTCTGGCTTGACTAGCTCTTTTTATATTCTCAGCTGAACAGAGTTGTCAGTGAACCAAGGAGCGTGGGTATTATTGGTGATAGAGGATCTTTTTCTAGAGAAAGTGAGTGATACTCGTTGCACTCATATAGTCTTTAGATGTCAATGCTATCTCAGCACAGTTTTCAAAATCTTGCTGATGACATCCTTTAGTTATTTGTTCTTTTATGTATCCTTCTTATGGATTGACTTTTAGAGGAACCTTACATTTTATGATGACTTGTCTTTGTTAATTGTTTTTTTTCTAAAAAAGATGAAATGAGTCATTTAGAAGAAAAATATTACAATAGCCACTGACCCTTTAATGAGAAGAAAGAGAGATGTTACGCCTATGTCCAATGAAAAATCTTGCTTTCTAAGTTCCATTGGTTGTGAGATTTTTACTATCTACATTGCGAAATTTTTTCCTCTTATGCCTACAGTGACACCTTAACATTTTAGACATGGGCATTCACTAGAACAGCCTAGAGACAAAGGAATTACAGTGTTCAATGGACAAATAATCACACTGAAATATGGGCATTTTATTTGTTGTGTAAATTTGAAAAATGCTTTCCTGGTAACAAGCAATGGTAATAGAGCGAGACAAGGTGTAATTTGAAGTGTTAAACTATGGTAAGGACAACTTTTAGGTTTCATAATTATCAATATAAGATAAATAGGCGAGGAACCTGAGAAAAATTAGAATTGGTGGAGCCACCACATTTTAAAGCCCTAGCGAAAGTGGGTGGCTAATTTCAGAGATATAAACATGATCTCAAGGGTTCAGTGCTACTGCATCTTTAAGATCAAAGACACAGCATCCTTTATGTCATGGAATCAAGTAGAACAATGGGGAGAGCAAAAGGGCATAAAGTAGTAAGTGCCATTGTAGCAATCTTGTCCTTAAATATTTTTAGGTTATCAATTGGTCATTTTGTCATTCCTCATGATCTAATGTACAACACCATAGTGCTTGTGCAAATAAAATTTTAAAAGTACTTTTGTTGCTCTATTATGAACTTGCATATTGTTGCTGCTTATAAGAACAAGCATGTCTTAATCAGTAGCTCAATCCTAATTAGATGCAATCATATGGAGCTGTGTTGGCTTATTGTTGATCATCAATTTGACCAGTGAGATGTGGAATCATTATCATTATTTCAGACTCATCAATAGTTAGGTGATCTTGTGAAAAGAGAATAGAGTTATAAAAAAATTAGGCTTGAATTTGAGTTCGAGCTGATTGCACCCCGTAGGATTATTGCAAACATCCTACCAAACTGTATGACTTAGATCTAATAAGTAAAGCTAAATTCCTCATTGATTCAGTTGGAACTTAGCTTGATCTAACTAAGCTGTGGATTCAAATTGGAAGTTAGCTTGATCTAAGCTATGGGACTTGTTGTGGTATTATAGTCAAAGGAAGAGCCAAGAGAAGGCAATATTTAGAGTGCTCGAGTCCTCTTGGCCTTCTCTTACTCAAGTATGTTAGATTCGTTTGAGCAGCTTATTAACTACCCATAATGTACATTTAATCTATTCCTTTTCACCAAAGAATGTGGTCAATTAACTATTTTAGTGTGCCAATTGTCTAACCTGGTATTTGCCACACTGAAACGTAGCTTCTGCAAAACAATGATGTCATAGTAAGTTCTCATAATTTGACTCTAGTGTCATGTAAATTTGGTGACATGTTAACAACAAAAGCTAACGGAGTTTGGTGAAGAAAGAAAGAGATTGTCATTGGACATACCTAGTGACGGATGGGGACTCCATAAGAGTAACAACAACAACAACAACAACAAAGCCGTAAGCGAACTATTTTGGGTCGGCTACATGGATCTTTTGTCACCATTAAGATGTATAAAAAATCATATGTTTAGTTACATTCAGAGTACTTAAATATTTATTTATAGTTTCTATTAAGGTCTTTTTAGGTCTTCCTCTATCCTTTCTCGTACCATTAACATTAATTATTTCATCTTTTTTGACTACCGCATTTGGAGGCCTCTTCAGCATATACCTATACCATCTTAAATGATCTTCTCTCATTTTGTCCTTTATTAAGGTGAAACCTAGTTGTTCATGATTAAAAATATTTCTTTTTCAATGTTTCTTAGTAACTTCACACATTTATCTCAATATTAAATCTCTATCAATGTGAACTGATAGGGACTTAATATGGATTTTTGGTGTAATCTTATGCTAATAGGAAACTCACCAAACACACTTCCTATATTCTAACACTAGTAGCTATATTATCATACATATCTTTAATAACATTAATATAATTAGTGGATACACCTTTCTTTTTTAAAACCCATCATAAATCTCTAAGAACCCTATCGTAGGCTTTCTCTAAGTTAATAAAAAATTATATGCAAATCTTTCTTTTTTTCTCTATACTTTTTTATTAATTGTCTTAATAAATAAATAGCTTTTATGGTTGGTCTTCTAAGCATAAAACCAAATTAATTTTTAGATATATTTGTTTCAAGTCTTATCCTACTTTCGGCAATTCTTTCCCAAAGTTTCATAGCATGACTCATGATTTTGATTCCTCTAATTTGAACAATTTTATATGTCACCCTTTTTGTAAAAAAAATTGACACTAAAAAACTCTTTCTCCGTTCATTAGGCATCCTTCTGAATCTCATGATTTTATTAAATAAGCTAGTTAATCAAACTACTTTCTTGTCCCTTAAACTTTTTTAGACCTCAACAGGGATACTACTAGACCCCATACTATTAGCTTTTTTCATCTTCTTTAATGCGTCTTTTACTTCATTAGCTCTAATTTTACGGATAAATCTATGATTATTAAATCTATAACTATTATTTATCGTTAAATCTGAGTCCTCTGTGGAATATTCATTAAATAATTTATAAAATAATATTATCATTTTTCTTAATCTCATTATCATCAACAAGTATTTTTTGATCTTCATCTTTAATGCATCTAATATTACCTAAATTCTTACACTTTCTTTCCTTAACTTTAGAAATTCGATATATAATCTTTTTTACCATCTTTAATACCTAATTTATTATAAAAATTATTATAAGCTTTATATCTTATCATATTGATCGTTTTTTTTAGTTCTTAATATCTTTTATTTTTTTTCTCATTTTTATAATTTTATTATTCTTTAAAATATGATCTTTTAGTAAAAATTATTTTTTGAACTTCTTTGCACCACCACCAACTTCCTCTTAAGGTTAACACCTTTACCTTTAGTTTCACCAAGAATCTCCTTTGTTGAGTTTCTAATCCTAGTTTAAATAATATTAATATTATCCTAATCTATGTTCAAAGTCACATTCCTTTCCATCTTATTTTTAAAAGTGCTTGCATTATCATCTTTAAAATTTCACCATCTAGTCCTAGTAATTTTTTCTTCTATCTTTTTCTTATTCCATTTACTATAGTAAATATCTAATACCATCAACCTATGTTGATTCGTTAAACTTTCATCAAATATAACTTTACAATTCTTATAAACAATTTTATTTACCTTTCTAGTGAGAAAAAAGTCTATTTGACCACAATTGTAATCACTCTTATAAGTAATTAAATATCTAATACCATCAACCTATGTTGATTCGTTAAACTTTCGTCAAGTATAACTTTATAATTCTTACAAATAACTTTATCTATCTTTCTAGTGAGAAAGAAATCTATTTGACTATAGTTGTAATCATTCTTATAAGTAATTAAATGTTCATCTCTCTTCGTAAAGTGAGCATCTACAATTATAAGATCATACAAAGTTGCAAAATCTAAAATCATACTACCATCTTTATTTCTCTACCTAGAACCAAAGCCCCCATGCACCTCTTTATATTCACCATTTGTTTTCTTTGCATGACTATTTAAATCTCCTTCAATTATAAGTTTTTTGGTTATAGGCATTCCTTGAATAATATCATCTAAGCTTTCTCAAAATCCTCTTTTGGTTTGATCATCCAATCCAACTTGAAGGGCATAAGCACTAATGACATTCAAAATATCTTTTTCTTTCACAAATTTTAAATCTTTTTACTCTAAAACATTGTTCTTAAGATCCTTATCAACAACAACTCCTACACCATTTTTGTGTTTAATTTTTTTTCAGTATACTAAATTTTAAATCCAGTATTGTTAATATCTTTAGATTTTTTCTCTAACCCCCCTACTCTCTTGTAAACACATAATGTTTATTTTTTTCTGATCATAGTGTCTACCAAATCTAGTCCTTTTCCTTAAAGTGTTTCTATATTCTAAGTTTCTAACATAACTCTTTGTTCTTGAATTAACTTCTTTACTCCCATTGATAAAAAACAATGAGAGAACTCTTGCCTACCTGGCACCGCATCCAGGAATTGATGTAATGGGCCACTTACGGGCGATCTCCTAACCCACCGTTTGTAATTCGGGACACCTAGGTGGTGAAGGTGCCTCGCGTCACTTCCGGGTAATGACCTAGCTCTATATTGAAATCAATTAAGATCCATGTTCATGAGATCTGACATAGTCTTACGCTAATTGTCAGTTATCTAACGTAACCCTCCATCTTTTTCATTTGGGTTTGGGACCAGCATTGGCAATGTTGGGACTCACATAGGAGTAAAGAGATGAAATCCCAAACTAGACTTTCTTGGACTATTATGTACCTTATATATGAGAATTCCTTTACTCTCTCTAGCACATGTCTGTGGTCAACCCATGTCATGAGAGAGTTCTTTCTAGCACAGAGACAACTTAAAGTAAACAAGCAAAGGAAGCTGACTTAAAATGCTTGTCTTGTTTTCGTTTGTGAGAATCTAAAAGTTGGCCACATCCTACAATCAATCTGTTACTTAGCTGGAGTACTCTGCCTAGAGCTTGATCTTTACTTTGTGGACTAGCTTTAGTTTACACCTTGGCCTATCGTAGAGCAGCATTGGTTATTGCTGCAGCAAACTTGAGTTATGTAATTACTGCTGCTGTACAATTGTTAAGAGTAACATATTAATTAAAGGAAGCTGACTTAAAATGCTTGTCTTGTTTTCGTTTGTGAGAATCTAAAAGTTGGCCACATCCGACAATCAATCTGTTACTTAGCTGGAGTACTCTGCCTAGAGCTTGATCTTTACTTTGTGGACTAGCTTTAGTTTACACCTTGGCCTATCGTAGAGCAGCATTGGTTATTGCTGCAGCAAACTTGAGTTATGTAATTACTGCTGCTGTACAATTGTTAAGAGTAACATATTAATTATGCATCAACACCAAGACGGTTTCTGTTCTTTTTTTCTTGCAATTAAGTTTACATGTATTTGTGCATACATGTATGTTTTGGCTGCCTTGTTGAGATACATATGTGGATTTTAATGAATATCTTTAGTCTTCTTTATGTGATCCACTAGTTATCTTACTTTTTCATGCATTCTAAATTAGTTCCATCCATTTGCCTGAATCAGTAATTTGATATGTTGATGTTCTTGGACTGCCATTGTGTGAGCTAGTTAGCAGCAATCATCGTAAGGCCTTCTTCCTGTTATTGCTTTAAAGATTCCTCTATGAGTAGATTGTTCTAGTTCTTAAAACTGATCACAAGATTATAGTGGGAACTGATTCTTGGCCTTGCCATCAATTCATATTTAAATTTTACATTTTAATATATTATCTTCTAATATTGGGACCTTATGACTTCCTGAATGTGATCTGATATTTATGTGAGGTAGGGCCTTATTTGCTGAAAACGGACATTTTATTCATTCCTTGTTGACCATTAACATCTTATGTTGACAAAAAAACTTTTTATTTTTTTTTTCAACTTAAACTAATATGAAAATTTTATTATATCATGTTCTCAGGTTCTTCTGCTGCAGAATGGACACAGGAGGCTGACTTTCCAAGCTGGATTGATCAAGAAATATTTGATGCTGAAGATGCCGAGGAAGGCAAAAGGTGGTGGTCACAACCAGATGCCACTTGGTCTCAGCTCAATGAACTAAATCCATTATACAGAACATCCTCATATCCTGAACAACAGCAGCAACAACACTCCAGTGAACTGATCCATGGGCCCAAGTCATCTTTTACCTCCTACCCTCCACCTGGTGGACAATGCCATCCTTCATTAAACCTCACACGTCATTTGAGTTTGCCATCTGTCACTGCTGCATTGCAAATACCTATTCCTTTTCCATACTCTAGTTCTCAGCATCAGTTGGAAGGATTACCACATGGGCTTCACTACGGTGCAAATGCACAGTTTACACCTCATGGTATTTCATCAACCTGCATTCCAGTGAACTATTGGCTGAATCAGACAAGCCTGTTTTCACGGGAACATTCCAGCATGTTGCCTAACTTGTTGCAGAAACAGCTACTACTACCAAATGGTTCACTTCCTTCACACCTATTGTCACAGCAGCAACAGCAGAGATTACAGCTGGTCCAGCAGTCTCTCACCCATTTCTCACACTTGCAGCCTAATAATTTGAACCTTCATAACCAGCCCCTACGAAAAATAAACAAGTTTGAGGCAGCTACTGGTATGTCTAGTTCAAGAGACCATCGATCTAAAACATCTCATAGGGGAAGACATAATATGCGGCTATCTCAACGGGCTTCTGAAACTGGCATCCTGAAGAGCAACAGTGGCTTTCAACTTAGATCAAAGTACATGTCAGCTGAAGAGATAGAAAGCATTTTGCGGATGCAGCATGCGGCAACTCATATCACTGATCCTTACATAGATGACTACTATCATCAAGCTTGTCTTGCAAAAAAGTCAGCTAGTTCAAGACTGAATCATAACTTTTGTCCGACAGTGATAAAGGATCCTCCATCACGATCACGTGCTAATAATGAATCACATGCAAATTGTCAGGTTGATGCACTTGGGAGGGTTCAATTATCTTCAATACCTAGGCTTCATCCTCTCCTTGAGGTTAATATGCCATCCGCATCAGGTGATGATCATTCTATGAAGCCTCTTGAACAAGAGCCTATGTTGGCTGCTAGAATCACAATTGAAGATTGTAATAGTCTTCTTCTAGATATAGATGATATTGATCGGGTGTTACAGGTTAACCAACCACAAGACCGTGGGTTGCATCTGAAGCGGAGAAGACAAGTTCTTGTTGAAGTGATTGCTGCATTACTGCAGCTTGTCGATCCCCTTGGCCCTGGTACAGCTGATCATTCAGTAGGTTTTGCCCCAAATGATGACCTTGTTTTCCTACGCATTATTTCTCTTCCCAAGGGCCGTAAGCTCGTACATCGCTATCTTCACCTTCTGATCCCTGGAAATCATGTTACTCGAGTAATCTGCATGGCTGTTTTCCGCCACCTTAGGTTTTTATTCGGCGGACTACCTTCAGATTCCATTGCAGCAGAAACAACCATCAATCTGGCCAAGTCTGTGTCTTTATGCGTATGCAATATGGAATTAAGCGCACTCAGTGCTTGCCTGGCTGCAGTGGTATGTTCATCTGAGCAACCACCCCTTCGCCCTGTTGGAAGTTCAGCTGGCGATGGAGCCAGCATAATTGTGAAGTCTGTGCTTGATCGAGCAACAGATCTTCTAACAGACCCTTATGCTGCAAGCAACTACAGTGTGTCCAGCCGAACTCTATGGCAGGCATCATTTGATGCTTTCTTTGGGCTTCTTACTAAGTACTGTCTGAGTAAATATGACAGTACAATGCAGACGTTGCTAATGCAAGCACCAAGTACTGCAATTACTGGATCCGAGGCCACAAGAGCTATAAGCAGGGAGATGCCCATTGAATTGTTACATGCGAGTCTTCCTCACACAAATGAGAACCAGCGTAAGGTGTTACTTGATTTTACTCAGAGATCCATGCCTGTTGTTCATTTTAGTACTCATGGAGTTCTTAGCAGGGCCGAAAGTTCCGAATCAGTTCCTGGTTGATGCACCTAAGTTAAATTAAGTGTCTTCAAGTAGCACTTAGTGATTTTGTTTCTGTACATTATTTTTCTGTGTGAAAACATATACGCGCTCCTTGCTTACCTGAAACATGTTGGTGGCATGTGGTAACCGGTCGATCATGACAAATGTAGATTTCTGATAATCTCTGTCTCTCTGTGTCTCTTTTTATGTTGTCATTTTATCTTCTGTTTAGGAAGCAGAATAATTTCAGCATATACATGAAAGGTTGATCAAATTGCAATTGGAATACAACATTCGTTGGACTCACTGTTTTCTTCGAGGGAGCTAATTTTTGATGCTCTGTTTTAGTTCTCCATAAAATGCTGCGGAGATAACAGTTGTGCAGGTTCCATTACGGGCATCGTTTTTCTTCAGCTCAAAGGATCTGGGAGGTGCCTACTATATAATTGCCCTAGTGTTCTTCGGCTTCCTGGCACACAAGAAGCTGCAAGGTTCTCTAATCTTTTGCCTGTTCATCTTTTCCTTTCTAGTTTTTTCGACAGTTCATCTTGTTGTGAATATGGCCTCTAGATGCCTTGCGGATTCACAACTTCATATTCGTACAGGAGCAACAGTGTCTACTTATATATACTTGCAATGGCCCCTCTTAGCATTGAACAATTAGTCTTTGTTCATAATGTTGAATGCAGAACTGTTTTATATCTCTCTGGTACATTGGTAAACTGTCCCTCTGTGGCTGATTCTTTTCTGTGCTGGTGGAATCAAGGATAATAGTGGCCAATTGAACAACAATTCTTCGCTGATGATGTCCAAGTCCAATTTGTTCTTTTAGCTGATGCAGTTTCTGCTTCTTGTGATGGTTGCTTTATGCAGTTGCAGTATGATTGGTGGCTTATGGTTGATGTCTACCAAAACATCAACCATATCTAATTATGATTGATCTCTACCAATTATCTTTTTGGCAAGATAATTAGTTTTGTCCACTGATGTCAGAAGTTCTTACTGTACTCTCTTGATTACATGATAATTAGTTTTTTTTCCTTTTCTTTGGAGAAAAAGAAGCTTATGGTTGATGTCACAATGAAGTTTAAATTTGTTGATGTAAAGGTGGGCAATATTACCCCATTAATAAGTAGCAAGATAGACCACAATGGCAGGTGTACACTCCTCCAAACTCCTGCACAAACAATGAACAGAGATCACCAACTCCTGCACTTAACTAAAGCTCCTCAACGGTAAGTGAACACTACCAAAAGCTTTCCATTACTGCTTTACGTGCATCATAATGAAGTTAACATGTCCGATGCTTCCAATTAATCTAGCATGACATTAGGTACATGTCTTACGCTTCTTCATTAGTTACATCCTAATCGAGCATGACAATAACTCTTACAGCGACCTAAGTTATGGAAGTCAGATCCGTGGCTTGTGCGTTACATGTATCATATATTTGAACAATGCATTCAAATGGTGACCAGGAGCATAATGGATTTTACTGAGAGATTCATATACAAAAAAGTTGGTTGGATGCATACCTGAGACTCAGATTATTCAGGATGAACACTTTCTGCATTACTTGAATATATTTCTTTGACTTCAGAACCAAAAGAAATTGGGAAGATATGACTCAGTATGGTTAATTGTGTTATAATGGTAACTTCCCAAGTCATTGCATTGGACAATATAAGGACTTTCTCCGAATGCCAAGAGGCTCCATGTTTGCCGGCACTTGTTCCTTTGATGAGCTGCATGATAAGCTGATGAGAAAATGGAATGGATGCATAAACTTGGGATGAATTGATCGAGTAAGCCCCAATGATTCTGCAAAGAACTCATTCACTGACAAATCTTGGTCGGCTTCTCTAGTTCTTACACAACTTAGAAATACCATGTTATCTGAGGCAAATCCTGTGGCCTTTTTCGTCACTTCAATGGTTTACCATCACCTGGTATTAGCATGTTTCTCATATATAGACACAGATTCTGAGTGTCTTCAAATCCTATCCATTGTGGATAATGAATTGTCACAATATCCAAACTGTTGTTGGGGATGAACAGTATGCACAGCCTTGCTTCACCGTCGATCTCCAAAACTGTATGGCTTTTTTCTTGAACATTCTTTGTGACAAACTCAGAAGTTATATTCATGTCTTCTCAAGCTCCTCCCACTTGCAATGTATAAATTGTATCTTTAGGTAAGTCCTGGCCTTCAATCCAACTTCTTCCAGGTTCCTTCTGCATTCCTCCATCCTTCATTATCGCTTGAACAGAGGCCTTTCTGTCCCACATACTCATGGAAGCATACATAGTCGATAAGGTAATATAAGGGGAAGGGTCCCCTGGTCTCATCTGCATTATTTTCTTTGCCACAAATTTCACTAACTCTATATTTCCATGGATCTTGCATGATGCAAGCAATGCTTCCCAAATTAACTGGTCTGGCTCAAATGGCATTATGTTTATGAATTCCATGGCTTCGTAAAGCTTACCGGCACGACCAAATAAATCAACCATGCAAGCATAATGCTCCAACTTTGGCTTGAGGCCATATTCTGCGCTCATGACTCTGAAATATTGGCAGCCCTGTTCGACTAGACCCAATCGGCTGCAAGAAACTAGGACACCACTGAAAGTGTAGTCATCCGGTTGGATGCCTTCTTTCTGCATCTGACCAAATAGTTCTAAAGCTGCTCTCTCATGACCGTGCTGTGAAAATCCTGTGATCAAGGCGTTCCAAGAGACAACATTTCTATTAGTCATAGAATCAAAGAATCTCAACGCAAGTTCTATATGACCACACTTTGCATACATTGTTATAAGAGAGTTCTCAACAGAGAGGTCATCATCAATCCCGGTCTTTACAGTCCTGCAATGTATCTGCTCACCCATGGAAAGACTTGCAATTACAGAACATGCCCGAATGGCACCGGATACACAGTATATAGGGGGTTTAATTCCATCTTGAAGCATTTCTCGGAATAGGAGTATGGCCGGTCCTCCACAACCGTTCTGGCCATAGCAAGTCAACAGTGCAGTCCAAGATATGATATCTTTGTCTCTCATCAGCTGAAACACTATCTCTGCCTCTGTGATCTGATTGCATCTTCCATAGAGTGTAATCAGAGCATTGCAAAGTGATACATCAGACAAAAAATCATGTCTTAGAGCATAACAATGTATCTCTTCTCCTGCTTCCAGTTCTTCCATGGCTGAACAAGCTCCAATTACGCTTGCAATCGTAAAGGAGTCAACCGCTACCTTTTCCTCTATCATTTTGCGGAAGACATTGACAGCATCCAAGTTACATCCATTTTGCATGTAGGCAACGAGCAATGAAGTCCATGACACCACATCCATGTTCACCCTATCGGAAAGTCTGACCACTTCATCCAAACCACCACACCTTCCATACATTGCAATCAGAGCACTTCCCAACAGATCATCGATCTTGATCCCAAGCTTTACCATGCAGCCATGCACCTGCTTAGCTTGGCAAAGCCTTTTGGGTTCGTCAAGAATCTTGACCAGGCAAACAAATGTCATGTTGACAGGCCATATTCCCTTGCATATCATGTCCTTGAAGATCCCAAGTGCAGTTTCCCACAACCTGAGCTCACCGCTATTAGCCAAACAAGTGACGATGGAGGTCCAAGTAACTGCATCCCCATCAGACATCTGATTGAAGATTCTCAATGATTCATCAACCTTCCCACACTTGCCATACATGTCGATCAATGTGCCTGCTACAAACGTATCGTTTTCAACTCCAAGTTTGATCGCAGTGCAATGCATTTGCAGCCCGACTTTTAGGTCCTTGGCATGAGCACAGCCTGCAATTACGTTACCAAGATTGCTTGCGTGAGGAAGAAGAAAGTTGTCACCCTCGCATCCACCAATGCTTCCCTGCAGGAGTTCTCTAAGCAAAGACACAGCATGTCTTAGATCGCCGGCTCGCGCGTAGCAAGAGATCACGGTCGACCAAGTGGCGACATTTGGTTGAGGGATTTCGTCGAGCAACTTGCGAGCATCAGCAGGCACTGAACTTGATAGCCAAGTGTAGGCATGGAGAAGGCCGTTGCAGAAGAAGGTGGAGCACAGGCAACCAAGCTTGCAAGAGAGGCCATGAACTGCTCTTGGGTCTATACTTGCCCGGCACCTGAGATACCAAAACAGCTTATCTGGCAGGCTCATCGGTGCTATGGATTCCATTAGCTTACCGCCTCTGTGGAACGGATGCCATGGCCACTGCTGAGAACAGTCCTACAAGAAGGAATTTTTTTAATTAAAAATAATATATATATATATATATATATCAATTTATTAATTATCATATCATAATTTTTCTGATAAAATTTAAAAATTATTTTTTCTTAAAAGAGACATCGTTATTTTGGATATTGAGATGACATCTCTATCGACATTCATCGTAAGAAAGTATTCGTCGCCTGATATATTTAATCTATGTATCGAACTGAACTTGCCACGCTGAGATAAACTCTTAGAAAAGCCTGCTTGTCGATCTCAACCCTGCGTGGTCGAGCCCAACAATAAGCTGTTCGTGGCAGAAGGAAGGCGAAAAGGGCCGATCGTACGACCAGAAACCCCCGTCCTCTTCCACCGGAGGACGGCCGGGTGGGTGGGCTTCTTGTTCCGCCCTCTTCCGTGACGAATGGATCGGTATGGGTGGTTGATATCCCTCGTTCCCCAGAGCAATTCGATCCCCAGGACCTTGCTCGTGGTTCTCCTCTTGTACTCCTTCACGTCGCAGTTCCTCCCGATCGAGCCCTACCTCGTCCCCTACCTCACCTCCGTCAAGAATTTCACCAATTACCAGGTATTGCTGCATCCGTTGCTCTCATAATATCGTCTTATTTCGCTTGGGATTAGGGTTGTTTGTTGCGTCGGTTGAGTTTTGGCAAGATTCTATCTGTGTGATGTGGTTTTTCTTTTGTATTTGCAGGTCGCAAATAGCATATTTCCTGTAAGTGTCTATGCTCAACTTATATTTACATTGATCATGGCGCCAGCGTGCTATTACCTTTCTCACAAACTTGTGATAACTTTAGGTAAGATTAGACAGTGTATCATTTTAGTATGCTTTATTTAAACGAAGAAGTTTTGGATTTTGTCAATTGAATAACTGTCATATTTACTTTGTAAGATAATATTATGAACAATAGAGTAAGTATGTTTTAAGATAAGAATTTTCTAAACATTATAACAAATTATGTCATAAGAACTATGCATGCTCAGCGACATCAGATCTGTTCTAGGCTTGTCTGTATTTTAGTTAACTGAGAAAAAGAGAATGTTAGTGATACATGCCATTTGTGAGGAAAACTGTCAGTGAAAAATCTGATGGCCAAGAGGGCCAGGCTCCCAAAAAGTGCTTACAAAATGCTTTTTGAGGGCGGGTGCCAACTCATATACTAGTCAAAGTTAGATCCCAAAACGATTGTGGAACTAATTGGATTGGAGTGTACAATCTTCTCCATTTAAATCCTTAACATCCTTGTCAAGTCACACACATCAAATGTCAAACACAATGGATCTCTTCCAGGTGATGTGGGTTTTAATGTGCTTTGTCGGACTATGTTGTCTTCACTTTGGTGCTTGTTTTTTGCTGGATCTACTCTTCATCAGGATGCACAATGGGTCCCAGTATGGTTCACACCTAGGTTTCGAATCTCAATTGTACCAATTGGTACGGGTTGATATTAGCGACTAAGTATAGATATCAAAACATATAACTTGATATTGGAACAATATCATTTTTTATTATTTTATTCAATGATACATGGTGGTCCAAGTTGGTATGTCCTAGTATATTAGTTCCACACCGGTTCAATAGGTTACCAAAATCAGAACTGGATTGTGATTTAAATTCTTGGTCCAGCACCACAAATGATTGTTGTTTTAATATCATATTTACCATGACACAAGCTCAATTGTCACATGGCTCAAGCTCCCATAAAGGAATACTCAAAAATGTTTTTTGGTGGTGGGTAACAACTTATATAATAATGAAAGCCAAAGCCCACATTTGAGATTGAGATACTACACTTAGTCCTTGCAATATGATGCATTATCTTTTTTCCCTTCTATCACTTCGTCTTGCTTTTACCTTTTTGCATTTGTGGTCATCAGTGTGCGTGTATGCGTGTGTCAGTGTGTACATGCATGTGTGCATGCCAATAACTTGATTTGTGTATCCTAAAGAAGGGGAATTACTTGAGTATTCGATTAATGTGAGAAATTGGATGTATTACTTCTTGATTTTTTTGTTACACTAAAATTTACATTTACAAGATACAAAGTAGTCAAATTGAGTAGTGACACAGACATGTTCAATTGTTTTAGTCCATGGTTGCTGTACTACCCAAGTTGGTACGGTATGGGGGACTGAGATGCGGATTGCCCGAGTCCCTGTTGGCATGCCCCAACATACCGTGTGTCAGTACACGTGTATAGACCGATGTGTACCATGTGTTGGTACACTGGTATAGATCAGTATGTACCGATCTGACAAATCTCTGAGATGAGTTTGGTATCTGAAATGACGAACTCTGGTTTTAATCATACCTTGTAGCAATCAGCTTTATTTTCAAAATTTCATGCTTATTATGAGGACAGACAATGTGACCATTTATTGAACAATCTGTTAATTGTGCTCATAGTTTACTTATGCTTTCTTGAGCTCATATAAATTCTGAGTAACATATTAACATTTTTATCATGTCAGTATTAAGTCATGTAACCGATTGTCTCTTTGAATTTCCTAAATTCTCTATGATGATGACATTCTTTTTATTGGGATAATTTATCAATATTATCCAAGTCAATAAAACCAAATATCATTTTCAGACATTTTTGTCAACTATCCTCTTTGTTCATTTGTTCTTTGTATCCTTTTTTGTTTCTTGAAGTTATGTAAATGACAGTTGACAAATTAATACCTTATCCTGTCAACATTAATTAAGTCAATGAAATCAAATATCTCAGTGACTATTTTACTCTCTTAATGTCAAAAACATGTCACTTTTTTTCTTTTTTATCTCTGTCTAAACCCTGCTGATCGAGATGCTACAATTTTAGGGGCTTTTGGACTATTTTTAACGTATTTGATGGCATGGTATGGGCAGTCACTTATAGCAATGCAAATTATGCAGGTAAATCCATTTAACTAGTTCAGCATGACATTAACATTCGATGTAAATTGTAACATTCTTCCAAGTCAGGTACATATAAGAAGTTTGCTCGTAATTGGCTAAACAATCTGTTACGCAACTCACAAATCTGGAAACCAAAATTTATCTGTTTATGGTTTTTTGATTGATCTTGATCCTATCAGCAGGGTTTGACATGTTGGTGACTTCAACTAGTGCCTATATGACGTACTCTCTCTTTTCTAGGAATCTATTCTGATGAGAAGGTTGCATGTTTAAAATCCTTTTTGTCCTTATAAAAGTCAAACAATAATTCTAGTCACACTGCACATCCTGTGCCAGGGGGTGTTTGACATGAACATGTTCTACTGATGTCAAAAATTCTACTGATGATTTTGGTAGAATTATAGTTTGTTGAAATGTTGTAATAATTTTACCATGTCATAGCTTCATGTAAATGGGCCCAGCAAAGTTTGTGATCACAAATGCATTCGTTTACCTGATAGACTTTGCATTTCACTGATTTTTTAATCTCCTTGCTGCTAGGTCATATATGGATTTGGGACATCAGCACGTTTGGTCTTCTCCTCATATATTTTTCTTCTTGTAGCAGAAGAAGAATATCAAACAATGGTAGAGTTGTCTGCTTATTGTGCATTTGCTATTCCCTGCCAGCTTTTCCAGTTTGTAAACAAGGAAAAAGATTACTCCATACAACAGTCTTAAAATTGCTTTATTATTGCTATATATCTTGAAATTGCTACATTGATGCTATATGTACAATTTTCTTTTGCTAGCTACATAATTGTAGTATTTAGATCTCACCACCTAAAGGTTGGTACCACTTGACTATCTTTATAGGGTAACTCTCCTTTCCTATTTGGCCTTTTGTCCTCAAATCTGGTTAAAAAAACCACAAAACTTAGGATATTTTTTTCTTCTATCTGTATATATTTAATCAGATTAAGATCTGTTTTTGATCCTCAAGCTGATAAAAAAGGTTTTACAATAGGTAACAGTTGGTTTTGTTCTGAAGTTATTTCAATATTGACTATAAACCCAAATGGGTCATGTCTTGGATGAGGACATTAGTAATAGGCTTTTACAACTGAAGCCAACTTGAGATCATGTGACAAGCACCTGAGAGAAGTCCATTAATGCGAAGGAAAAATAATAAAAAATCAATAGTAGTTTACAATTAATTGTATAAATGGCAGTTATATGTATCACTAGTGGCTTTTATGCTTAAGTAACATTTACCCAATAGTCTAGTAGGTTTGCTGTGGCTCTTTGCTTAACTTTGTTTTCTTACTTATATGAAATTATGGCTCTTAATTTGTTCTTTGTTATTGCATATGTTGTTTATCTTATCTTATTAATTGTGGTTCATTGTGAATTATGGATCTTGTTTATTGGTGGCTAATTGCACTTATTTTCTTTTTTTTATGTTGCAGACCAGTTTAACTCAAACAGTTTCACTTTTGTCCTTCGTTTTGGCTTCTGAATTGGGTATGCTAGTGTGGCTATATATTGGATAATGTACTCCAGAAAATATTGGATATCTAGTATTAATTTTCTTATAACTCATAGTCATCATGTGTTTGGGAATCAACTTTATTTTGTTCATTTTTTAAAAGTTTTAGTTGATAATGGTTGCACATTGTGCATGTCGTTGCAGTTCTCTCGAAAATAATAAACCTTGCATTGATTATATCAGCATCCTTGAAAACCTTATATATCTATTCGATATAGGGTCTGCAGTACCGAACTGTACCGTCCGGTATGGGCGGTACGTACCGATCCGACAGGTTGCCGGTATGCGGACCGTCTGTTATCGGTCCGAGTGCACTGTAGCACTGTAGCAGTGCTACAGTACTCGGCACACCTAAGTATACCGCTCGGTATACCGGATCGTACCGGTACTGAGCCCAAGTCGAAACACCGGTACGGTACGGTATTGCGAACCTTGGTTTGATATACATCAGTTAGTGTATATCTCGTATATTCTACCAGGAGATAGCTTAATTATCTTGAATTACACCTATTATAGAAATTTGGGATTATTTCCCTCCATAACTTACATTTGATGTCAGCCATGCCGATTAAGACTTCTGGCATGGCCCATGCGAGAAAGCTATTGGTCTGTAGCACACTGATCTGTCTCAAAGAGCTGGCATGTGGTTTAATCAAAATTTGATATGTGCAGCTGCTGAGAGGCAAAATATGGTTCTTAAATTTTCTTTTATCGTGCCAAGATAAATGGAACCTTTCATGCCAAAAAAGCCATTGAATTACTAACAAGTGTTGAAAAAAAAGGAACCTATATTATTTTAGGCTCTTGAGGATGATAGCAAGATTTTACAACATCCTTACATTGATAATCAAGGAAATTGCACTTCCTGGTACAAACTTGGATATGGTATAATATCAAGTAGTGGATTTTGATTTGTTGTCAATCTTAATTCAGTAATTCTCTTGATTAGGGAGCTTATTTGAAGTTCTCAAGATTCCGGTGCCTTCAATTTAGCTTGATATAGTTGAAGGATTGTTGTAGTCAAAGACCTTTCTTTTCTTTTTAAGTTGTTCAATTAGTCGGCAAATAATTTACATATTAGACAGGCTATTAGCCAGTAAAAGTGGATCCTTCTTTATTTTTAAAATATAAAAAACATACAGCTTTCCTACCATCACATGGTTAGGGTCCTTGCAAGCATATTTAAAGAGAAAAAAAGGAAATTAGGTATCTAACTCTGGATTTGTAGGATTGTCTCTATAAATTTTTTTATTTTAATAATGGGTTATTGACCTAAGAATTTTGTTATTTTTTATCTTTCATTTTCTCTTCTATTTTCTTCTGTTCATTCTTATTCTCCTTATTCTGGATGATTTTTCCCAGCTCATCTCTACCAGTTTCAGTTCCATACTATATTTTGCATATAAAAGCATGTCTACCATCTGTTCTATACACAGTCTTATGCAGGAACTGGGTGGCTTTTCAAGCATTATTAAATTAGGATTTATTACATATATTGTTTAGCTGAGTGTCTGAGCCTGAGATTGATTGGACAAAACTGTTCTGTTGTTTTCATATGTAAATATTGTTACTGTATCTATTTAAGTTTCTAATGTCAGAAAATTTGAGCAGTGTTTGCTCAATCGAGGTTGGAAGCTGATGTACTGAAAGTTTCTTTTTTTTTTTGTTTATTATGATAGGTCAGTTTCTTGCCCTTAAAGAAGCTGCGTACGAGATATTCTTTATTATCTCGCTCACTGCGGTATGTATGCATGGTTGTTCTGACCATTTAGGCTATAGAAGTAATTATGAATCATGTAACTCTGCTTATTTTCTCCTTATTCTTTGCATATTTCCTTTATTCCCACCATCAGTAACTTTTCTTTCTATGGCTGTAGCTAGGTGTTTGTTGCACCTCAACATTCCTTTTGCCCAAGGATCATTCTTTGAGCTCTTTGCCTTCTCTGGCTATACTTTGGCATCCAAGTGAGGTAAATGTTGTGGATTTTTTCATCATTTTGTCTTTATCCTTTTAATATATGATTTCTAGTGCAATAAAAAATTTTAATTATTTTGATGATGCGAATTCTCTAGGTTGCACCTCTGTGACCTATGAAACTAGTGTTTGTATTACTTGAAAAAGTCTATTTAGAAAGAAGGCTACATACATTGAGCGTGCCCATGAGCCTAGACTTGTTACACATATTTGTTCAAGTTGTAGGTCGTAGGAATTAGGAAACATGAATAAATATGGTCTTAAGCAAGGTTCTGAATACCATACCGTACCGGTGTACCAATCAACTATCGGTACGATACGTATCGACTATACCGAACGTACCAACATATGATACACTAAGGTATACCGATGTACTATCCATACCGGTCCTTTATCGGACCGGTACATACCGCCCATACCGAGCAGTATGATACGGTATTGCAAACCATGGTCTTAAGTAATATTTTCTGAAACTTCTGCTAACCGAAAAGTAATGTGTTGAACTAAAGCCTATTTCAATTTACTGGGTTTTAAAATTTCTTCTGTTAAGCATTACTGTGAAAAGCATGGCCCTTTAAGAGTTAGGGTACCTACCCTAGTTTTTACACATGATAATATGATTACAAATTTTTTTATGACGTGTACACTATCATTATTTCTCCAACTTGCTTTGCCAAGATATACTGCATCATTTAGGTCTCTACAGGTAGCCATTTATTGGTACATCCTGAAGGGTACTAGGAGGTGTTTTCTATGCTAATTGGGAACGAGTACAGCCTGTGCTTTGAAGATCAGCACTCAAAAAATGATGAAGAGGAGGAAACTTTCCTCTCCAAACAAAATTAGACCTTGACAGTCTCACAAATCTAACGATCCAATTTGTGCATGTATTAGCCTCCCTAAACTGGTGGGAGAGCTTTACATGCTCAAAACAAGAAAAAAGTGAAAGATGCCGTTATCCAATTTCTACAACTTGCTTTGCGAAGTAATACTGCATCATTCAGGTCTACTGTTTATCGGTAAATCATGAAGGGTACTAGGAGGTGTTTTTCTATGCTAAGTGGGACATCCATTCACCCATTCCTTTTAGTTGATCATTCATTTCATTACATAATGTTTGCATGTTAAACAATTTATTCTGAGGATTACATAATTGTTAAAGGCAATAATTTCTGTTTAAGCTTGAAAGAACATTGCTTGCTTGCTATGGCAATGTTGCCCCATCATGACTTAGGTTCCAAGGAATCCCAAAAGTAATCTCTTTGCATGTAGTGATAAGATTATGCAGATATGTTTCTCCATAGGATATAGATTGGCTGGAGTCTCATGCACTTGGCCTCCTTTTAAATATCTTTTGTGAAAATTCTATTTGCAATATCTTTTTCCAGGAGAACTCAAATGTTGAACAATAAGCAAAATAGGGATTAATATATCAGATTTTAGTCACTTGCAAGATATTCATTTAGAAAGCATTTATGTTAGTTGGGTGCCAAAAATGATGTCTCAGTGGTGTTGCATTAAGTACAACTATTTTCTCTGTTTATGAGTTCAACATTACTCTTGTAAAGGTGATAAAAGATATCATGGCATATGATCAGCTCTTGATTGAGATATCTGTACATAGTTGTATACTTGTATTACATAATATTCCCTTTATCTGTCCTTTTGAGTTTAATACTGCCTTATAATCAACTCTTAACTGAGTCATTCTATTAAAAAAAAGCTTAATTGTAACGGAAGTGTCTTCAGGATCAGTTGTATTGCAGAATAGTCTAAATCGGTGATTCTGTATTGGACTTCCTATTAAATCCTTTTTTACCAAACAATTTTTTTTCGCTGACATGGATGACCTTTTTGGAATTCGTAAACAGGGATGGAATGCTAAACTGAAGGAAACATGGAATGGTCAGAGTTTGAAGATTCTGTCTCTGTGGTCAGTACTTCTGTATTTGCAGCCTAATAGATACTTATAGGTCTAAACGAATTTTAAAGGAAAACAACTTGACTTGACCATGAGGCAATAAGCAAACCAGTTTGCATCCCTGAAAGATGTTAAAGAGACAAAATTATGCAAGTATTTATTTCACACTTAATTGATTCCTAGCCGAAACCATGACAAGATTTTGCACATAAGGAACCATAGGCCGTGAAGGCCATGATTACTATCAGAAAACTAATTTCTAATTTCTTTCCATTTTTAAAATTTGTTTTTCAGCTGATTTCTTCACAGAAAAATATATGAAGTCATTTTCATACCTCTCTTTCTTTCTGTCCCTCAACTACTCTTCACTGATGTTAGGAATGATGGCAACCATAGTGGTAGCAGCATTGTCAATGGTGTCATCATGATGTTGGTGTTGGTGTTGGTGGTGGTGGTGGCAACAAAAGTGGTGATTGTAGGCTCAATGAAAAGCTTAGGGAAATTGGCTTTTGTTTTTTCTTTATACAAAGATTCGGAAATTTGAAAAACCTTTTATAAGTAAGCATTCCCAATATGTTGATAGTTTTTTGTTGATTGGCTGATGTCTATCATACATGAATGGAGTTCAAGACTAGTGAAGCTGATTTGAAGGAAGATGAAACAATTCGATAGTGAAAAACATAGAGAAGAACAATAATATTGTGCTTGCTGAGAGGTTTCAGTGTTTAGTTTTCTACAATGGAAAACAAAATTCATTAGGTGGTAATGCATAATAATGACTTGATCTAATAAATTCATTTGTCTAACTTCAGAGTTTATAGGTTGTTGATGGAAATGTGTGACAAAATCGTCAGAATAACTTGTCCATGCCCGAAATACTCTTTAATGAAACAGCTAGATGTTTGTTATATGCACTGATCATTCTTGTTTCACATGGCTCCTTTTTTGCTTTCCAGGTGGGCAGTTGCATTTGCTGGGATATCGTTGGTACAAAATTATGGAACAAATCTCTTTGATGCTATTGATCCACAATCCAAATTTAATGGCCATATTCTTGCAGTATCTGAAGCAGCAGGAAGTCTTGGTTCTTATTATGCCATTTATATTGATAAGTTTGCAGATAGATCACGCCAATTAATTTATCTACTCGGATCAGCATTTATGGGTATTCTTTGCATTAGCATGGGAGTTTATGCCAATATTTGGGGAGCATATGTTTTTTATGTGACAATTTGTGCAATCTACCGAACTTTTGCTTGCCTTGTGAGTGTGCAATGTGGACGTCTCCTACAAAATGGACAATTTATCCTCCTATTCTCAATTAATAATTTTGCGGGGCTTTTAATCGAGACATTACTTCAAGCGGCAGTTGTAAGTATAGACAGTTTATCTTTTCTTTCTAATGAAATGTTGACCTGCTTTGTTTGAACACTTAAAATTGGTGAGAGTTTCAGAAGTATCAGAAAGACGAGTTACACAGATGAATATATAGTGGCACAAGTGTATGATGTTTCGTATACAATCTTACATTCTATGTAGATGTCTTTGTATTGAGTGGAAGTGGAAATTTGAATAAATACTACAAATATGTCCTCTATATAAAAAACACACAGCATCACTAGCTTGTAGCTTATAATCTGTTCTTTAAATAGTCATGAATAATGTAGATCTTGATCAATTTCACATTACATTATTTTTGAAGAATTGTCCGGAAAAGCAGCCGAGCAAAAAGCTCGTGATTGTTCAACATTTTTTTGTTGATTCAATAAATATATGAGAACTAAGTTGGTGTATTAATACATTGATTACTTTTCATTTATAGATGACTTGAAAATTGTTCTAATGCAGGAACTATCTGGTCTTTCAATATTCTCGCAGTTTATTGCCTTTTCTGGATTGTTCTTTGTTGCAACAGCTATTTTTATTTGCTTTTCATACATTGACAATGGAAGAGATACATCAAATATGTATTTGATATCAGAACCTGAACCCGAGTAAATTCTGAGTGATTGTGTCCCACAAGCTGGGTGATACAATTTGGGGGAGTTGAAACTAGCTAAACTTCCCTCTGATAGTGTTGTTGACTTGGGGTAGAGTGGTGAACAGAATTTGGAAGTCATTGTGCTACGCATTTGTTTGACTGCTTGGAGTATCCAAGTGTTCGAGCATGTTATATGATCACTATAATTTTTTTTACCCTTCGGTTAATTTGTCTTTGTACGATTCTTTCACACGATCTTGTTTGTAAACAGTTCTATACGAAACAGAGCTACAGAGAGAAGTTACAGAGATATGCAGAAAATTCAGATTGTATATCAACTCTTTGTTTGCATTCGGTAACGAGTTTATTTTGATGCAGCTGCAATTCAAATGTTACTACCAGGGCACATTTTTCTGTGAATCAAATTTAACAAACGAGCATGCATTTGCACAGATTTGGTTAATGAGACTCTTCTTGATAGGTTGCAGGCAACAAGGGTTGAAATGTTAGCTTTGTGGTTGATTCTGTTGAGTTGAATTAGCACTCAGTATTGGAATTTGTAACACATCACCTCCAACTTCTAATTAAGTGCTTATTTCTAATGTTTGGTGGGCTAATTATAGTTAGTTATCTTTACTATGAAATATCTAGGTTTATTTATCCTAATTTTATTAGTTTTATTACATAAAAATAAAAAAAAAATAAAAAAATAATTTTAATATTTTAATTGATGATAATGGACATTGGTGATGGCGGATGACGATATTGTTAGAGGTTGTGGGTGGTTATTGTAGATGAGAATAGATAGATGATAGTAGTTTTGCATTTATATCGACGCCAATTGTTCGATAATTGCATCGACGTTAATATAAATGTAGAGTGACGTCGCTGTACATCTACATCAATGTTGATATAAATGTCAAGTGGTTCTTTCGTTGCTTAGCAACTACGTCGATGTTCGATGCCAATTGCTTGATACTTGCATCGGCGTTAATGTAAATGCAGAGAGAAGTCGCTCTACATTTGCATCAATGTTGATATAAATGTCGAGTGGATTTTTCGTTGCTTAGCTCGTATCTCTCTTCATCCACAATAGTCTCTCACAACCTCCAACGACGTCGTCATCCGCCACCACCGACACTACCAACTAGAATATTAAAATTATCCTTTTATCTTTTATTTTTATATTTTTGTTAGTAAATTTAATGATGTTAAGATAAATCAACCTAAATATTTTACTTTCGTAACTATAAAAATATTAATATAATTTTTTTAATTATAAAGATCCCGATGTTAAAGATAACTAATTATATGAGATAATTTATAATTAACCCATTCTAGGTATACTTATCATGCTTAAGCAAGTTGTCCTGTTCTGTTCTCTTTTCATCTCAATATTTGACTCTGTGGTAATGCCATTCATATGATATTGCCGCGATGCATAAAACCTGGAGACTCCAGCAATTACGACTAATGCATTCATACGTAGCTTGTTATGTGCACAGAGACATATGGGTTGATGGTTTTCTATAGCCATTTACATCACTCCCCATCAGAAGTGACTGTGGGTATGCAAACCACCTCCAAAAACAAAAAAAACATTTGGTATTTATCATCTCAATGATGAAGTCAAAACAATTTAGGCCTGGACAGCACAATCAGATGAATTAAATGATGCCTCTTCCATGGTACGTGCATCCTAGATTAATCTTTGGACCTGCAATACATCCAAAGTGATTTCAGCTTATTGAACTATTGATGTGCATAAAATAAAATTTCCAGTTTCTTAGCAGAGTACTTCATAAGCTGTCAATTACTCGGTCCTTCGACAAGTTATCGACAACTTCTACTCCGTCATTTGAGGCAATTATCACAGTGCATCTGCAGAGTAGACAAAAGGTATTATCCTTGCCTCTCCAGATAATATAGACAGATACTGATTAATAATCTTGAAGGTATTAGAAAAGAAGCATTAGAATTCATTACTGAATCATTGACTTGCCTAAGTTTAATAATTGTAATTTGTAACTTATACTGAACTTAATGCGCTAATACTTTGTTTGTCAATCTTAGTTTATATTCTGCAGGAAGTTAATCTTCTAGTGTCTAATAACAATATATATGTATCAACTTGTATTTGAGTTGGGAAAAAGAGAACTATCAAGACCATAAATCTTATAATTCATAAGGATCAAAGAGAACTAACGGAATGCCACATATTATTCCATGGTCCACAACACCGTCAATTTGGTCCAGGCTTTCTGCTACTTGTCCTGTAAACAATGGAACTAAAAGTCAAGATGGGCAGACATCATAAAATTCTCTGCATATTCTAATTAGTTACGATAACAATCATGACATGGGGAAACATAGATGATAAAGTTACCATCAACAAATCAGATTATTTATATTTTTCTAAACAAACACAGCAATCAGTTTCCGAAACCTATCCATTTAGTTTTATGGAATGGCAAATGTAGCAAGCTCGGTGCTTCGATGCATGTACTTCTATTATCTGATTCTTAGTTATTTCTCTAAGCTCACCTATGAAATTCCACAACCGGACCTTGATTAATTGTTTCTCATGTACTTTACATATAAAATAAAGATGTTATAGCTGTTGCAACTTTATTTTTTTTACCATACTATCCACCTATAGAGGACTATAACAAATATATCATACTTTCCTTACTCCCAGCAGTAGTATATAGTTATATGATCCCAATGATTGCAATTTCATGTTAGTTAACAGTTCCCACTATTGAAATATAAAATTCAAAACCATAATAAATTTTTAGATGTACACAAACTTAACAACACTGATTATAAGAAAATTAATTAAGAAAAAAAGTGAGGCTTGCTTACGTTGATTCTTTACCTAGATCAAGTATAGGAGATGTGAAAATGACATCAAGAACATGGTGTCCTTCTCTAGTAACCAATGGGAAGTCACCCCCCAGTGGACCTGCATCGCCAGATGATGGTCTTCTCCATACCTTTACAATAACCCCAGAAGATAAGAACAAATCTTACATCAAGAGTACATGTTCAAAAGATATTTTGACTACCAATGCAGAAAAAAACATCAAGAAGGTTGATGGATAGGAAATAGCAAGCAGGTTATGCCATTTTTGTATTTTAAGGCAGTCATCATAAGATAACCCCTATTGTTCTTTCCATTTCTTTTAGTTTTTTAAAGAAGTGCACGGAAGCAAACCTCAGCATCTCCAAGAAACAAATCATCTATTTCTTCAGCAGTCTCCAGCCAATTACCCTGACAACAAACACTAAATCTTGTTGGTAAAACTGATAGTGCACAGATATAGTGCATCTTTGCCAATGAACTGAAGGATAACATACACTATTAACCAAGACTGGAATAGATCCATCAAGATCACTTGTGTATTGATTCTCAGCAACAATGAAAGCAAGTCCACTAGCTGTTTTCACAATTGACTGCATAATGAAGCACAACAACATCACCACAAATATCAATATCATGAACACAAGTTTAAAGACTCCTATAAAATGCTTGCAGATGTATGAATTACCAGCTGAGGCCACATGATTCATTATCATGGTGGAAGGTGCCTTGAAATGCAAAGAGACAACGTACCTTTTCTTCAATTATGGACTCCCCACCCTCAAATTTTCTCCGTCCAATTATAGCGATTAGTGTTCTCTCTTCAATCAAATCAGCATCATCAAATGCAAAATCAATCTGCATAAAAGCTAGAAGATTATCAGCTTTTTCAATCTACTTCACTAGTATGGAATTTTAGACCATAGTAAAGAAATATGAGAGGAAGTTCTAATGGTCCATTAGAGAATAATCTAAAACATGAAAATACTCACTACAACCAACACAAAAGCAACCAACATATTTGACAATAAGAATGTATGCACACTTGAAGATTCTCCTGGTAGTTGTTCAGTGGAATTCCTGCTTTTGCTGCTTCGCTTGCACTGGAAACAGAACTGCAGAATGAAGGCACCATAATACAAGATGAGCAGCAGCAATTCAAACAGATGGGACAAAGGAATTATGATTATATTTATAGATAAAATTGAGTAATGATAAGGTACAGACTAATATCAGATCATTACTGATGAAACTATGTGAGTATCACTGAATATATAAGAGTCATCAAGGCCATCAGAAATTATTTGTGTGGAACCATAATGTTTCTCAGGTTTTTATATTTATTAGATATTAAAAAGTTCTAAGCTGGACAAGAAACAAACATGTTATCCTTTATATAATAATTTTTCCTGTATTATGAATAAATTGGGTTATAATGCATTGTGACCCTATCTTTTGTATAGCCTAAGGTTTAAAAATAAATGTCAACAGGACTCACTATTTTACAGTATCTTTCATCTAGAAAGGCATTTGATCTTTTTCTTGTTGTCTTGCTTTTTTCCACAATTTCTTCATTTCTTTTCTGTTGTTGGTGAGCAAGACCCCATCACCCATCCTTATGCATGAAGGATCAGAGACCCAGTTTGTATCCCACATACGTTGTGTATGACATCTACTTTTTGGAACATTCCGACCATCCATCAAGCAACATCTCATATTATGTATTCCAAAGGTTTATTCTTTATGGAATTAAGATTAAGTCGTGAAACATTAGAAAGCCGTAATAGCATCTTGGATATCCCTACCTAATTCCCTTGACCGTGGTGTTGTAGCAACTTGAATCGCATGAAACCTAACACGCCATTAAATGAAGGTGAAGAAAGGAGGAGCAGAATGTCTCACGTGGGGACTCCTACAATGCCCTTGAGAGCTCCCTCGCGCAGCCGCTGGCCCAGATACTTTATAGCCAAGCCGGAGGCGCGTCCCGAACCCAACCCAACCACCATGCCGTTTCTCACATACTCATCCACCTGCCCATCGATCGCATCAGCCCCCGTGGTCGATCAAAACAAGCAAGGGCATTTCTACAACTTTTGCCGCCTCACCGTAACTTTTGCAGCCTGGAGGAGGTCGGGGGCGCAGGCCACGGGAGCCGTCGCACGCGCGAGCAGTCTGGGGCTTCGCGCGAGCCCGATCGGAGACGAATGGAGGCTGGCGGAAACCGACCGGGTGATCCAGGGGTGGCGGAGGGCGAGGTGTGGAGCGCCGGGAGGCGAGGCGGAGAAGGAAGCGCTTGTGATGGCGCGAGCCATTTGCGTTGCCGTCGCAATGGTATTATCTTTTCTTATCCCCTTCCCCTCTTTCCCTCCCTCGGCCCATTGGGCGGGTCGGGTGGAGAAAAAGGTGGGGCCGTCTTCTTTGGATTCGGGCTCGAAAGCGGACTCGGTGATCCACCAACCCGTTCGCAACTCAATGTTAGGACTTAAAAATTACATATTATTGCTAGTTAGATCTCTTTTCATATCAGACTTAAAAATTTTACATTTAAATCCTTATCGAAAATAAATATTTAATACTATTTGTCATAACGTTATCGATTTTACAGTACATAATAGCATATGCATAAATAATATGAAAATGATGAATAAAAAGATAATTTTAATGGTACTAACAAACGGTGACGCCATATGTGATTATTGTGATGGTGGTCGATAATAACAATGCAGTGGTCAATCTTATCAATATCGATTCGAGCATTGATGACAATGAGAAAAAAAAGATAGAGTGATAAGACATCTATGTTGGTTCCGGAGGAGGAAGAGGGAGGTGAGGCATCTGTGTCAGTGCTGCATCATTCTGTCTCCTCTTCCTCCTTCGATATCGTTCTATATCTACGTCGATACTAGAAGAGGAAGAGGAGGTAGGTGAGGCTATCACCATGATGACATGCTCAAATCCTTAGATGGTTGCTTCGTTCAGACATGCGATGGATTCGAGGGAAGGATGATGGGTGACAAGAATGAGGGAGAGGTTGCAAGGAGCTCGGTGAAGAGGCACACTTGTTTTGAGCTTTTGAGTATTAGTCGATGCATGAATGATGCGTATGCCCTGGCCACAACAACGTGGTGGTTGACCTACTTATATATCAACTCCGCTCACAACCAGAGGGGATCTGATCGGACGACGAGAACTAATCACCACACAAAATGGACACTCGAAGTGTATAGATCCGACAATAAGAGAGAAAAAAAAAACCCTCATCCTCCTTCCCGCTTGTTGTATTCTTTGGGCCTCCGTTTTGTGTGGTGATCAATCCTTTCCATTTGATTGAATCCCCTTCGATTGCATATGGAACTGATCTCGAAGCAGGATGGGGACCATGCCATTGTGGTTGGGGTATATGCATTGTTTGCGTACCAACTAAAGCTCAAGAGCTCGAAGCAAGTGCACCTCTTCGTCGAGCTCGCTCGCAACCTCTCACTCCTTGTCGCCCATCGCCTCTTCCTCAAATTCACCACGCAATTGGACGAAGTGACCATCCGAGGATTTGAGCGTGATACCGTGGTGGTGACCTCACCTACTTTCTCTTCCTCCTCTGGCACCGACGTAAATGCAGAGCGACACTGGAAGAGGAAGAGGAGGCAGAGCGATACGACATCGACGTAGATGCCTCGCCTCCCCCCTCTTCCTCTTCTAGCATCGACGCAGATGTCTCACCACTACCTCATCTTTCTCCTCATTGTTGTTGTTCGAATGGACATTGGTAAGATTGACCATCATATTGTTATCACTGACCATCACTACAATAGCTACCCACATCATCACCGTTTGTCACCAACATTAAAATTACTTTTTTACTTTTGTCACTAATATTAAAATTATTTTTTTACATATAATTTTTGTGTTATTTATGGACGTGCTATTTCTTTCGTCGATAAAGTCGATGATATTTGAATAAATAAAGATAAATATCTAGGATCTTAATATAATTTTTTTAAAATCTAAAAATTAAGATAATCTAACTACAAGCATAAAATTAGCCCCTGATTCCCCGTCACAAGTCTTAACGCGAAGCGAGAGTGATTCGCTATGCCGAATCCTGCACGTGTAAAGCTTAGAGCACTAACGAAGCAGCCGCATAAAATTACTTGATGTATAAAATTGTCCCACGGTAAGTGTATATATATATATATAGCTAGAGTTGTTTTAAGAGTTATAATAGAGTAACCATTTCATTTTATTATAGTTTCAATCGGTTTCCAAGTAAATGCTTGTAACTGGACCAATTCTTAGAATCAGTCTTACTTTTTGTAACACATTATTTAAAAATAATCAAACAGTATTTTATACTTGTAACTGGACCAATTCTTAGCTTTTTGATCCCACTCAATTCCTACTTGCAACCATAAGCTGTAAATCTAATATGTGAAAAAAATCTTGAGATGCCCATACAAACACCACTGTAATAAAAAAAAAATGGGTAAAAGGTACAACTTTCGCAAAAGACCAAATAAAAAGTTAAAAACTTAACTGTGAAGTGACAATTATGACCGAATGTACAACAAAGAATCAGAAAAAAATTAATGCAAACAACTTCGTTTTGCTTTTCATACATAAATATTGGTTAAAGAAAGTCAGAAAACAAAAATCCTTAGTAGAACAAAAAATTTGAGATCAAACGTTCTCTGAGTTGATCTCCATTGCGCCAATGTATTCTACAATAGCAAATTGAGGACAATGCACAGCGGGTCACGTTCCTGGCTGCATGAAACTCACGACAATTACCTGTTTGAGGTGCATACACTTCATAAACGTGAAGCCAATGAAGATAAAACTCACGGAAGCATCATCTTCTATCCAAAGCCCAAAGCCGATTAGACAATGTCAACTGGCAAGTGGGAAATTCCCACCTGGTTTCCCATTTGTTTAAGACAGCACAACTAATATCAGTAGACCTGCAATGACATGGATTAGGCTGAAGCTTTGCATCATTTATATGCAAAGGGCCAAAAGAGAAGGCTTAAGGTTTGCCATACCTGAGAGGGCACAGAAAAGAATAATCTTGGTCATTTCTGTGATGATACTGAATAAGATTCTGCTACGGTGGGCATGATCGTCAAGTAGCCGAGATCATTTAATCCTGGTATCATGTCAGTACAAAATTGCAGATAATCTAGGACCAATTCTCATCAGCAAAAAGTTAGCACTTCATCCAATGCCATCTTATCCATTTCATTTATAAACAGAAACACTCCTCTTATCAAAGACTAGCAGGCTTCACCAAAGCTGCCTCAGCTGACCATAAAATATTATTAAGCAATTAATGGATGCACAGCTGAATGAATACTTGCATTCATCTCTTTCAAAATGTCCTAACATCTCTGTGTTTTCACTTGGTTGCTGCAATTTATTTGGCAGCCTGTGTGTTCTCTTTGGTAACTATACATTTCTGTTTTCTTTTTGCTTTCTTATAAAATGTGGCAAGAAGAGATGAATCATCATCATCATCATCACCACCACCACAACATATAGCTATCGTCTTAAATGGATCCTCAGCAGCTTGTGTGTTCTCTTCAAACACCATATTTTCTCCTTTTCTTTTTTCTTTCTTATTAAATGCCATGAGAAGAGATGAATCATCAACATCACCAACATACATAGTTCTGGGAGTTCCTTTGCACTGCATCTTATTTTTTCTGCTTACGTTTTCACTGGACAAGACAATTGATGCACCAAAAAGATTTGAGTGGCAATCTAACAACAATCTTCCGAGAAGAAAATGATATTTGAGGATTACTTACCAAGAATTCCCCCTTTGATCATTTGCTCCAGGTCCTCTGCATTTTAGGAGGTTATAGCCGAGAAGATGATAAGCTAAATTTAATATTTATCAATGAAAAACAGAAAGCTAGGAATGCTTAGAGAAAACTACCTTGATTTGGTATTTCTTGCCCTCTGACTGTGATTAGTAATGATGGCAGAATAATCTGTCTCAGAAACCAGTAGACTGTCACCAACAGTTCCACCAGCAGTAGTTTCTAATGCCCCACTTTTTAATTGTTCGTGCTTCCTTTTTGCAAGTCATTGAAAACAAAATGACTCAAAATCAGAAATGAACCCCTTTTTCATTAATACTAGAGCATTCAAGATGTTGAGCAATACTCAGTTATGCCAGAGACCTTTTTTGGAAAATTAATGTAGTTAAAACTATACAAGATGCTACATCAGAAATTATTGCTAAATATTTTATCCTCGTCACCTTTTGGCTCTTTTACTCCAGCAACTGATGCTCTCTGTAGCAGAATTGTCAGCACTTGTATCCGGTACTAAATGTCTGTCAGTACTTTGTTGATTTTCACTGTAAAAAGGACAATGTAACATATAAATTCCACAACTTAAAGGATGATAATTTGACTCCACCACCTGATGTTCAGTATTTTGATCCACAAACCTCAATGTTATATCCGTTGTCCTGCCAATGCACACACCTTCTGTAGAAGCCGAGTTTACAGCAGTTGTAAGTGACATGCCGGCTGGAGCTATATCGGATGAAGTATTTATCATGCAATCCTTTGTTGAATTTTCTTTAAGATGACTTCCGGATTTAACTCTTGATTTTCTTGGTCTTTTATCACTAGACCTTGATAAAATAAACAAAAGATAAATACAGGATGAGGATCTAGAATAATATATAAGTACAAACGGAATCATATACAAATTGTGACCATAGAGTCCAGTGTCTTAATTGATAATACCTTGATCTTTTATTCCCTGATCTGCAGATACCAAGATGCTCAGTGGAATTAGATTCTGTGCTTGGTAGATGAGCCAAGTCAGCAGGAACAGTATCAGTAAAATTATTTATATCCTGATCCTCCATTGAATTTTCTTTAATGACTCTTCTGGACTTAGCTTTGGACTTCTTTGGCTGATGATCACTGTCAAGGTGGGCATTAGAAAAAAAAGGTTAAAAATGAGAACTCAGTCAGATAATAAGATCTTCAAGGTGAATTTACCCAAAATCATCAAGGCTTAATAATATATGATCAAGAACTAAGCACAAAGGAATGGCGACAAAATTCAAAGAATACTTATGTATATCTAAAGAATAGTACCTTAGCTTTTTCTTCCTAGCTTCCACATAATCAGTTTTTTCAGATATAGTAGAATTAACGATTGATGTAAAGTCATTTGGACCAATTGCTGGTCGCTCACTTTCTCGGTCTACAAAGTTGGATATAAGTGCAGTCTTCTTTATCTGTGCCGCAGCTTGAAGCAATTTCACTTCTTCTGGAAGCAGAATCTTCCATCTCCTGTACACCCACAGTTTGAAGTATTATCTTAAACTCAGAAGTAAATTAATTACTAAAGATACACATCACAGCCATGGGCTGCCCAAACATAAAAACTCTTTTAAGCAATAAATGATGGTGACAATACCTCCTGCATTGGTTATCAGTGCGTGGAGGTATGCAAGCAGCAATTTTAGACCAACAATTTCCATGAACTGCTATTGCATCCAACAACTTGGCATCCTCTTCTGCAGTCCATGGATTTAAATTTAAAGCTGGATCTAAACAGTTAAGCCACCTGCCACCAGAATAAAGCTACTTGGAATCACCTTGACATAATAAATTATACTTATCTGCAGGTAAAAACAACAACACTGCTACCTTTCTCGACATTGGACTTGTGTCCGACCAGGTGCAAACCAAGCTATCTTGTTCCAGTTCTTGGCCCCAAAGAGCATAACTGCTACTTTTAGCTGTTTATCCTCGTCCACAGACCACCTACCTACTTTCTTCCTCTCAGGGTTAAGGGTTTTTTTCCACCTGCAACAGTGTGATCATAAATTTTGTTTAAACAGATGAAAATAAGACACCAACTACAATCTGTAGTGTTCAACCATTTGAAGACTGCAGATGAGTATACAAGTATACAACAATTATAACCTTTACAAAAAGTTAATGTGGCTGAGATGGAAAAGTGGTGTTATCATAAAGAAAAGGAAAACAACACCAACCCTTGAGTCAAATAGTGAAATCCTCTTAATAAGATCTAGTAAAAAATCTCTCTTTCAGTGACTAAAAATAATGCATGTAGTTTACTCTATAATACAAGGAGAAAAGATCTCCCAAATCAATAATAGATTAAGTTAAATAATAAAGAAAAGGTTAAATACTTCAAATGGATCTTATTTTAATTGCATATTGATTAAGTTCTCAAGCATGCTTCAAGAGCTTACAACTGCTAGATAACTTGTGGGGAGCTTGCCTTTTACGATAAACTTGTGTCTTCCAAAATCCCATCAATAAAAGAGACCTCTATGACTCTCCTAATATGACTTCTTAAAAATCTTTTCTAACCTATATCACAATCATATTAGGAAATACATAGACAAAACTGGACTCCCAAGACTTCCCAAATGATCAACCAAAAATAGTGACCATTTAAAGTAAAGAAGCTTGATTTGCCCTCTTCCTTTTGAACTTGATTAGGACTGGGTTAAGCAAGCTCCAGTTGCTCCATTTTTACACCCCTCTAGTCCAAGTTGTCTCCAAGGTGGCCACAGACCATGTTGCCTCACTCATGTTCTTTAACTTTGCTACACCTTTCCTTTTGAACATTTTGGGGAAAGATGCTGATGTCATTGTAGGAAAATAAATCATCATGATAGGATTCATCATTCATAACTTGTCAACAACAAACACATTGGCCCCCATGAAATCAATCTTGAACCTCAAGAAGAGTAGAAAGCTGTCATGCACAGCTTTCCATGTTTATCTTCAAACACCAAAGACAAAAATGTTGATGTGGTGGGCACAACAGCCTCATTTGCTCGTGCTCCAAAAACTGAGTTATCAAATGTTGCTATCTAAAAAGAGGAACAAATAAAGGGAGAGAATGTACAGGATTAACCAACTGCTGGTATGTGGTTTTGTCAATTCTTTGAAGTTCAGATTAATGGGACTGTCTAATTATGATCAATCCAAAAATAGAAATAAAGAAATAAAAAAAAATCTACACCTATTACCACTAGGATTTAGTAAGGAGGCTTGATTGACCTGGTTATTCTTTCTAAAAAAATCAAGCCCATATGTTATGAGGCATCATGAAAGAAAATTATCATGTAAAAGTGATTGAGTAATAGACTAATAACAAGAACTCTACCAAAACCAAACAACATACATTTCCAGAATGATGAATAAAAATTTTGATTTTTTATCACAGTTTTTATTTAAACAACAATACATTTATATGAGGTTCTTTCAGCAGACTCCAGTAAAATTTGCAATTTGATTCATTTTCCTTTTAATGCTATTCAAAACAGAAGTTAAATTCAGGTAATTAAATCATATATCATACTGTTCTATCAATAGTTGCATCCTTATAAACTCTTGGTACCCACTCTGTCACTACTGCACTTGCTGGAAAATCATATTCCAGTTGTATCATCACCAGCCCCCAATAAAAGCATTAGTGCCAAACAGCACAGAAAAAAGCACTTAGTGTGCCTAACCTAACCACGTCAACCATCTAGATCAACAACAATTTTCATAACTACCAAGGCAAAATATCCATATAGTCAACCCCAAATAGTTGGGACTTATGACTTTGTTGTTGTTATTATTGTAACTACCAAGAGTATGCTCAAAGCACTAGTAACCAAGGTTCACCGTACTGCGACATACCACTTGGTACAGGTGGTATACACTAATCCAACAGGAGACTGGTATGGGTAGTACATCAGTACACCCTCATGTACTATATGTTGGTACACTCAATATGGCTTGGTATAGCTCGGTACGTACCGTACTGACAGCTGATTGGTACACCGATACAGACTGATAAGGTGAACCATGCTAGTAACCCTCCTAGTGGATATAGGAGCTGTTGCAGCAATCCAGTAAATAAGTATTTAATGCATATACCATCCTCTTACAGGAAGCAGCATTCTTATAATACAAGCTGTTAGTATGCTATCAAGTATCAGCAACTGCAAGAAAAAAAAAAGAAAAAAAACAACTTTGTCATTGCATATGCAAGGTATGAATCATAAGATGGAATTGCCGGACTGACAGATACTATTACCTTGTTTATGCTGATATTGTGTATACTTATCTTAAAGATCTTCCGCTCAACTAATACATAGTAGATCATATTTAACATCAGATTATCAGAATTTATTCAACTTATGTTATATTATAGAATTAATCTGGAGTACTATCGGGAGAATTGAGGTCTCAATCCTACCATATAAAAATCATTCACAGAGGCTCCAAACTAGTGATCAACTCAATAATATATGATCTACTATGTTAAATAAAAAATATTCAGATATATTTTGTGTGTCCACCAAATTAACACAAAATAACAGTATAAAAAGCATTGATACATGAAAGTACAAACTAAACGACTTCACTAGTCATTAAATGGGTGAAACTTGAAACAGATGATATTAGATTAATATACAAAAAGTTCACCTGCTTTGATAGCTTTATATTACTGATCAAATACAGCATACCTATGCCATTAATATTTCTTAATGTTTCCTCTATATGCATATATTAAAATACTTTGAGAATATAATATTTCATTTATCGTCTTAGGCTCCTAGGCTAATGTTTTTGGATCAACAAGTTTGTAAATGTCATTTGTTAACGGTCTACAAGACATTGTTTCTCTAACAAGTTAACTAGCTATCCAAATAATCAACAAAAGAGCATCAATTAAACCCAAAAACTTAGGACAAATTGCTAAAAAAATCTGGTGCATAATAAATAATACATAAAAAAACAAGTTTAAGAATGATCAAATAGTAGTTTATGGTTCTCCTATAAGCAAAACTAAAAAAGAATAAGAGATTTAGAAAAATTTTAAATGAAAATTTTGACTTTACCTATTAGAACACTGAGGACCTGTACGGCCTTCTAGACAAGAAGCTATGAACTGCCACTTATTATCACCATAGTTCTCGACAGCCGCAGAAAGCTTCACATCATCTTCTTCTGTCCACTCCTTTTTCAGAATATGAGGATTTAGACTCCGTTGATAACGTAATAAACATTGAAATGGTGTTCTGTGTGTGCCCAATAGAATTGAAATATCTATCCAATTGTAAATGCCCCTTTGTTGAACAATAAACAAAAGCTTCTTATCCTCCATTACTGTCCAAGGACTGTGATTAATCATCGGATCTTCACAGTTTAACCACCTAAGGAAAAGATAAAATGAATGAGAAAGATTAAAGTGCCTTCACTCTTGAGAATGACAAGGCAATTCTGAGAAATAAAACAGGCACCCAAAAATAAAGACGTCACCATAAAAAACTATGAATTGGAATGGTCGATCAGCTACAGATCAAAGAGTTTCAGATTCAAACATGATGTACAATGAAGTCCGGTAAAAGAATTCTTGGCTCTACTTAGCTTCATTTAGCAACCATTACAATCCACTAATCCAAAATCATAGCAATAATGAATCTGTCTCAAAATTTATAGTGTCAATTCCCGGCTATGGAACCCAAGTCCACCTTATTTACAATGTCATGAGGGCCAAATTGATACACATGCATCTGACTTTTACAAAGATTGGCCCTTCACTAATTGTAATTAAACTAACTTGATATACTAGTGAACAATGTCGTCATGATCCAAAACCAACATCACATAAATCAATATTCAACAAAATGTCAATACCATTTAGTGGATAAATTTTTGTAACAAGTAATAAGGATTGCTGCAAGTAAAATTCTTTGAAAAAAGAAAGACTAATCTACTGTCATAACAATCCATTGAACAATGTTACACGGGGAAAATAATTATTCATGTATCAGACCTTCATCTAATTTCAAGTTCAGGCCAGTGTTGTACTTCATTGCATAACACTTAAGACTGTCTTAAGTTAGACATGCATACGGAAGAAAGAGCACAAATAGGAAATGAACTCAAGGATGGCGATTAACCTTCTCCGCCAACTTAGATGTTCAAGCTTTCCAATAAATTACAAAGCAAATCAATTTCAATCCAGACTAAGCCAATTGGACTGGGATAAGCTACACCAAGTCAAAGAATCCTAATTCTCAGTATAATACCAAATCACTGAAAAATGGTTGGAGTTAATCAGAATTTGCAGGCATTAGCCAATTTTTGAGGAAAAAATCAGCCCATTCTGATGATTCAAAGTTGATTCCATCCAATTCTGAAATCTAATTTTATCCATCAATATTGATGGAATTGTAGCCATGAGCCAATTCAGAGAAGGAGAATAAAATGAGGTGGAAAGATTGAAGGAGGAAGGGGAGCTACGAGGTTGTTGCTCATTTGCACTGTGATCATACCAGCATTTGTTGTCCATGCCACCTTCCCCTCGCCTCGGGCTACATATACAAGCTAAAGCTTGCGATCTTTAAGGTATACATATTAGTGATTGTATACATACAAGTGCACATAATTATACATTTTAGTTATTAATTTCTTTCGTTAAAACTTAAATGAACATGATCATGCAACTTATAATAAAAATATTTCCACATATTCATTTCATTTCCATTTTTTGAACTATGATATTTCCATTTTCATACTCATACTTCTCTTTGGCACCTTAATCATAAAACCATAATTGTGAATGCCACATTATATATATATATATACAAGGATCACCGTTTCATGTATCGGACTCGTTTCGGTGATATGTCGACTAGTATACTGATTAGTATCGGCATATCGTGTGTTAGTAGTTAGTACACCAGTATGTATTGACATTTTGAAGAGGAAGAAAAAGGAGAGGAGGAAGGGTGAGTCGAGGAAGAGGAGGAAGCGGTGGAGGAGGAAGAAGAAGGAAGAAGCAGTGGAGGAGGCAAAGGAAGAAAAAGATAGAAGAGGAGCAGCAGAGGTGGGAGTGTACCTAGGAAGGAGGAACACTGTGATCACGGCATCGCGAAGCAATGGCGGTGGCATCGGCATCGGCATCATGAAGCAACAGCATTGAGAAATAGCAGCGGCAGCAACGACGCCATGAAATAGTGATAGCAATGGTGACAGCAGCTTAACCGTGAGAAGAGAGCTTGTGATTCCTATTTTAGGTTTTTCCTTTTCTTAATATCGAGTTGGACGAGCCCCACTGCTATTTTCAATTTTTTATTTTTGTTGAATTGGACAATATTGTCAAAAATGGGGGTGGTCTGTATACCAGCCCAAGCCCGGACCGCTACGTACTGCCCATTTCACACCATTTTGGACGGTACAACAATTCTTATATATATGTTCAATTTTTAAATATTGACCTTAGTTTTCTTTACCTGTTTCCGAAAAAATCATGTCAGCTACCAAATAAATTAATACAAGAAGCTTATCGATACAGTCTTGGTGGTTAAATACCATCAATAAGTAGATGTAAAGGAATTACAACTTTAAGTAAATTAATGCAGGTAGTTGTCAGTCATATTTCTACTTGAGTTTGATAGTGGAATGTGTTGAGGCAAGGGAATGAAATAGAATGGAAAAATCAACTATGGTAAATATTTTCAAGTCAGACTGCCCTATGCAGTGTGAAGAAAAACAATGTTCAAAGCAAGGAGTGCAACCTTTATCAAGAACTGGCTGATATGATACCAATATAATGGATGGTATCCTAAGCTGTGCTATTCATGTCCGGTCTGGTCCTGTTCTTAAGTGAACCAGAAAATATTGGTCTGCACCAACTGATACAATCAAAATTTGATTCCATAGTTTGAAGCTATTAAGTTGTCTAAATAAGATTAGCAAATTGTACAAGTAACAAACAAATAACCTAGAAGGACGCAGAAACACTAATCAACAGAAAGGTAAATTATGATTGGCATAACAAAAGGATAAAAATTAATATGTATAAGTGATATTATAAAACACATTTAAATAAAACTTTACCTTGCCTCACATTCTGTACCAGAACGGCCCATGACATACATGGAAGCCAGCCGATTCCAATTTACCAAAGGCATGAAAGATCGAATTTTTTCAGGCGTGAACTCAAGATCACTTAATGTTGTTGCAGACATTATGCTTGAGTCTGTAATACCCTCTTCATCACTGCATGTGGCATAAGAATAAAAAAAAAATCAGGTAAAATAAGCCTTAAAAAATAAAGTTATTCAGATGAAAATTTATCAGTAAACTTTTAACCAGCATAATACTTTGGTTAAAAGCCTTCTTGTAGCTTGGAAATCACCAAAGCATAAAGCATATAACGAAAATAGGAAGAAAGACTTCCACAAAGCAAATACATACCTTTCCATATTCATCGAGTTCAAAATCAACATCTCTTGGTACTGTTGCTTTATTCCCTTTGCAAGATTTTCTTTCTCAGTCTTTGACCATGGTTGCTTACATAGTGAGACAGGGAATCTTTCAAGTACCATTCTACATCTTAAAATATGAGAGTTTTCACCTGGACCAAAATGTAAGGCGGGAAGCTTCTTCAAAGTAGTCTGCAAATAGCCAAATGCTCTCTTAGCTAATGGGCATTGGGTTCTATTAAATTCTACAAAACCAATAATGATGTAAAAGAAAAGACTAGTAACCAGAGAAAGAACTGACTGCATGAAGATTGACCAAATAAACATTCACATGGATAAAACACAATGGTGCATAAACCAGTACATCAGAAATTTATTACGGTAGCACCTATACCACAACTTCATGGAAGTTGTGGTAATTTATGTTTTATAAATAAGAAATCAATATAAGATAAAACAAGATATATGCAGGATAATTAATGACAATACAGTCCAGTTCTGTCTAATCTCTGCTTAAGGTTTCAAGCATTTTTTTTTCATTCATTTGTGACAGCACACAAAAAGCAATAATCATAACCATAGTGTTCCCCAGAAATTTTTTTATTTACAAAAAGAAAATGCTTATTAATTTCTGAAAGGACACTTTTCATTTCATAAAAAAAAAAAAGGATACATCATTTTAATCTTAATGGAAGAGGTCCCAAAAATAATCATAGAAATGCACTCATATATATAAGTTACCAGTAACCAAGAATTTAAACATAGATTTCAGATTGATATATATTTCAATATAGATACTTAGTTGGACTGGTGACTACCATTCAAGGCATACCAGTCCAGCTGGTACTTAAATACCTACCAGTAACTATTCTAAGCAATGTTTTTATCATACTTCTCCTATTATGCAAATTCTGCACCTACGCAGATTTAAACAGACAGCATAAGGAAGTAAGAAACAGTCATCTAAAATTGAAATCACAAACTTATAATGCACTGGTCAACTTTTTAACAATCTACATAACCAACAATGCCAATGGCAGCCCACATATAAAACTGTAAACCAACAAATGGCTTTGGGTACTAAAAAATGCAAATCTCCTTGAACTATGTAACAAACATTTTGAAGATTTCATGTGTTAGTCAGAAAAACATGTGCAGGTCCTCCTCTCTATATCTCAATATATTCCCTTTCTGTGAAATAAAATATATATAAGCTTTTGTTGTTGACCTTCTAAGCATAAATTACATTGATTTTCAGAAATATGGATGAAGATACCTCACATTCTGAATGATGATTTAGCCAAAATCAGAAGAGATCCATTTTCATAAAAGATATGGCAAAGCTTATGCTGTCAGCTAGTTAACACAACCTCTTGAACATGCACGCACCAGAACTTGAACTGGTACAAAAGAAGAAGATACATGCAATTATGCCAAAATATTTATGAAGCTCTATAACAAAAGACTCTATATTTAACTCTAACATTTACCAACTCATACATATTAGAATTTCACACTGATGATCATGTCTTTCACTCAACTGAATTATATATATTGAGGTTTTTTACGGATATGTACATCAGTTATACCCACCATATAACTTCTTTGTGAAGCAAATAACCATAAATATTGCAAATGAACATGAAGTATGCTTGTTCACTCCTATCTCATTAAAACAGCCAATAGTAGATTAGATCTCTGCCTTGCATGTACATCGGTTATAACCACCATATAACTTCTTTGTGAAGCATTAAGCAAATAACCATAAATATTGCAAATGAACATGAAGTGTGCTTGTTCATTCCTATCACACTAAAACAGCCAATAGTAGATTAGATCTCTGCTTTGCATGATTACTTTGGTTTTAATGTGCATACATTGGAATTCGGGCCTATAAATGTTTCACTGTCAGTGAGGAGACATCCAAGTGTTCAAAGCGTTTGCACAGTTCAATAGATCAGGGGTTCAAGTCCCATTGTAAGAGTCTAGTGTGCATGTTATGTAATGCTTAAAAAGGAGAGATAAATCTGAAAAATAAAAGTGTGTTTCCATGTGCTTGTACATGAACAAATAGGGTGTAAACGAGCCAAACAATGAGCAAAGTAAAGCATAATCCAAATATATATCACAGATAATTATGATCAACCAAAATCATCAAAGATTCACAACTCAAGTTCAAGATGTACTCAACAGTAATCCTTCATGCAGAAACACACATATCCTTCTTAGCATGATGAAAGAAAAATAGAGAAAGTATATTAAACAGCTTTCCTTTCATTGGCAAGCACCGTTGCAAAGGAACAGAGCAGCTTTCATTTAAAGAGGACCAAAACTTAGATCAAGAAAGCAAGGATCAGGATAGCAAAAGGAGGGAAGGAAGGACCAATCATCCATGGTGACAATGTTGTTTTAAGGTCAGAATGACATTGCAATCGAGGTTAGAGCTACAATTATACCAGTGTCCAAGGAAGGGGGCTTGAAGATGATGGTCAAGAGGTCTTACTGGTGGAGTGCACAATAAGCCAACTTACTCTCCCACATTGGAAGAAGAGAGGCATTAGAGCCACCACAAGCACTCCTCAGAAATAGAAGACAGCAAATGTCTTAAAGTTCATTTTATACTGGTCTGAGGGGAAATTCTAATCATTGAATCAAACTCATCAAGCAAAATTGAAGTAGAACTAAGTCATGAGCCCTAAGAAGCAGCCATAGTTAGATCCCATATACATGAGATACAAATATTGTTGGATCAAGGCCAACTTGAGTGAGACCGAGTAATCATGGGCTTGTGTAAATTGGCTCGTTAACCATACAAATATATAATTCTCGTTCAAATTTGCCTCTTTAATCTTTTCAATGGGCCTAGCCTGAGCTGGGCCTGAGCTGGGCCTGAGCTTGAATACAAACTCTTCATGAAAACAGAGCTTTTTGAATGACCCTAAACAGATAGGCATAACTCTGTATATGCAGATGTGCACTGTAAGGTCCCATATAAAATCTAAGAGTGTACATAGGCACATGTTATAGATATAATACACGAGGAATATATAAACCAAACATGTACATATATGTACACAAGTCTAAGTAATTTTCAATTTGTGTCAAAACAGAGAGTTGAAGTATCAAATATAAGAATCTCTATACCTTTGAAGAATTTTCAGATGTAGGTTTCTTCACAGATATTAACTTAACACGAGGGTCCTTCCTTTGACATAAAACATTCATCACTTTCCTTTTGCAGGCAACCTGAAAGTTCATAAGACATTTGATACGTTCTTTCAGTTCTTTATTTTTTTCAATCTTTGCTTCAATTTCTATCAGCTTCCTCCTAATAAGTTTCTGACATGACCTGTTCTTCTTGAGAGCATCAACAAAATTCTGAGCAGACTTTGGGAACTTAGGATGCATCAAATCCCTAACAATTGAATTGCATTCTTCGTGCTCTAGGGTGTGTGATTCATTATAACTGTAGCCAAGCTCTTTGCTCAATTCTGTGGATCTATTAGGAGTTTCAGGCCCACACACATCAATACCAACAGCTATCTCAGGTTCTTCTAGAAGTTTTCCAGGCTTCTTCCTCAGAGAATCTGCAAGAACAAATAAAAATAACAGTGACTCCAGTATAAAACATGTAAAGATCTCTTAACATATTGTATGGAAGCCTGGAAAGATCTAAACGAAGAATTAATGACATGTCTAACAAGAACGAAAAAAAAAACTATCAACGCTAACAACCATAAAGTGGAAAATTGATTATCAAGCCAAGAGAGACAAGAAAAGAAGAACATAACAGAAGAAAATTAGAAAAAAAAACAATAAGAAGGATCAATAAGAAAGTTTTCCACTTCAGGTGGAGTTCGAGCCACCTGTTTTGTAATCAATCTAACAAAACTTGTTCTTTAATAGTAGCTCGGAAATGACTGCCTCATAACCAACATTATTTTATTTGTTCGATGTAACTAAATCTTATATAAGTACGAGCGGAACTGATTGGTGACACCAGGAATTTTCAAAGAGACCACAATCATAAGCTAATAACCAAATAGTTAATTTCCCATCTCTTGTCCTCAAGACAGTTGGCATCTCTTGTCCTCAAGACAGTTGGCAATGAGTTATTTTCTTGATAATGAGAAACAGTTTGTTACCAGAGGGATTAAAGTTTTGACAATATGATGCCAAACATATGTGCCGCATCATGTAGTGTCATATGCGGAACATGTCCAGTGTCAGATGCTTCTAATTTATCAGAGTTTGCACTAACTGATATCCTCCTGAATTATGTTGAATCAGATTGAAGTTTTTTTTTTTTTAATTGATGGTCTAAGTTGCAGAGTTTACAGCCAAGTGTCTGCTAGGTCAGTGTCCAAACAGCTCAAGAGAATCATTTCATTCAAAACAAGGTTTATTTTTCATCAAGCTCTTTTTTTCATTTTAATGAACCAGGCATTAACAAATCTAAATAAATCATAAACACCTAGAAGAGAGTAGAAAACAATAAGGCCTACCTATCTAGTACCCTGGAAGGTATATGATCAAGGGTGTCAGTACATTTATTAAACCCTTATAGATCCATTCAATTCTTCACCCACTTAAGATGTGGGACTAAATTAGGGCATTACAAGTTCAGAATCAAACCCTTATAAATCCATTCAATTCTTCATCAACTTAATATGGGATTAAATTGGGGCATTACAATCCATCCTCATCGAGTGTCAGATGCGGAACATGTCCAGTGTCAGATGCTTCTAATTTATCAGAGTTTGCACTAACTGATATCCTCCTGAATTATGTTGAATCAGATTGAAGTTTTTTTTTTTAATTGATGGTCAAAGTTGCAGAGTTTATAGCCAAGTGTCTGCTAGGTCAGTGTCCAAACAGCTCAAGAGAATCATTTCATTCAAAACAAGGTTTATTTTTCATCAAGCTCTTTTTTTCATTTTAATGAGCCAGGCATTAACAAATCTAAATAAATCATAAACACCTAGAAGAGAGTAGAAAACAATAAGGCCTACCTATCTAGTACCCTGGAAGGTATATGATCAAGGGTGTCAGTACATTTATTAAACCCTTATAGATCCATTCAATTCTTCACCCACTTAAGATGTGGGACTAAATTAGGGCATTACAAGTTCAGAATCAAACCCTTATAAATCCATTCAATTCTTCATCAACTTAATATGGGATTAAATTGGGGCATTACAATCCATCCTCATCGAGGACCAGCTGTTAGTAATCAAATAAAACCCATATAAGTCCATTCAATTCTTCATCAACTTAAGATGTGGGACTAAATTAGCGCATTACAAGCCCAGAATCAAACCCTTATTAATCCATTCAATTCATCAACTTAAGATGTGGGATTAAATTGGGGGCATTCCAATCTATTCTCGAGGACCAGCTGTCCATAATCAAATGAAACCCACAATAAGTCTATCCAATTCTTCATCAACTTAAGATGTGGAACTAAATTTGGTGGCTCCGCATTATAAAATATCCTCTAACCTTGTCTATGGATAGGACTTTCCTACTTGGGGCCCTCACTATACTAAATGCTAAGTCACCTCTAATACCATTTGTTAAGTCCTGATCAGATAGGTTCTGACCCATTAACCTGTTGAGACCGAATTACTGGTCCAAAATACCTAAACCCAAATTAACGATAGTAGACCGATTAAGCACTTGCTTCCGATGTGGGACTAAACCTTAGGGTGTCACAAAGGGTCGATAGATGAAAGAAGATGGATCTTCTTGAATCTAGTTACTCCAGAATTATAAAAAGACCCATCCATGTTGGCTCAAATTGAACAAAAATTGCAGCTACTTCAATAAAGAAGCAATGATTGCAATAGAATTATTAAGGATCAACAATAGACATTTGGGCTTCTAAAGAGAGGATGAAAACTGAGAATAGCACCAATTAGCTAGCAAAATGAAGACTCAAGAAAAAAAATTAGGAATTGTATTTTCAATCCAGCAAATCCAATTACCAATCAGAAAGATCAATGCTGAATTTGGCCCATTTCATATCATTTTACACCCCTAACAGGAAGTAAGCATTCCTTTGAATAATTCTATCGTGTAAAAAGTTGAAAGATACATCTATCTTAAAATTCATCATAATACATTTGTTTAGTCTAATTGGTCAGAGTTGTACTGAAATTAACAAAAGAATAATTGTCATTAGTTCATTTGGTTCTCATACTAAAAGTATTCATTTGATGGGGTGGATTCCAATCCCCGTTCTCCTTAATACTTGTCCTTACTCGTAGAAAATCTACATATTATATTGAGCCATCGGGCAAACGCATGTAAAATTTGTTTTAAAAAAACCCTACTATAATAATCAGACTAAAAAAAAGCTCAGCTATGCACCAACGCATTCATTCAAGTATCAAATATTCAAGACTTCAAAGATAGAACACAAGCAATCCAGCCACAAACGATCAGAAGGGCAGGAAGCGTACCGCTCTCGAACTGCTTAAACCTCTTCTGGACTGCACGAAGGGTTTCGAAATCATCCTCACAATTAGACTCCTGCGGGAGAGTACTCGAGGGCTTGTTAGAAGGCAAGGAATTCAGAGCCGGGGAGGGCGAAGAGAACCGCTCCCGCAGGCGAAGGAGGAGGCCGGCATCGTCGGTCCCGCCGCTCTCCGGTCCGGATTCTGATTCGGAATCGGATCCAGCACCGCCTACGTTGGAGGGGTCAGCGCCGGTGAGCATGCAGGCCCTGCGCAGTGCCTCCATGTCCGCGTCAAAGGCGTCGTCCCGGTCGCTCCCAGAGGAGGAAGAGGACGCCATCGGGAAGGAGGCCGCTCGCAGGCGATCGAAGGGAGGGGAATTTAAGTTAGGGTTCAAGAGGACGAGTGCGCGGGGGAGGAGCAGCGATGGTACGGCCGACGAGCGCAAGGCGAGGCGCCGATTTACGAGGGAGGAGAGGCGCTTAAAAAGAATTCCACGGGAAACGACGAGGGGGAATCGAGCATTGCTTATAAGAAGAATATGACTTGTCGTGGTCCAACCGGGTTCAGATTCATCGAACCCGACCCTATTGGGCCGTTAATTCCCGCTCTCATGACTTGACGCAACACACCAGCGCTGCCACCTGTCGCCGAAGCCCTCCCATGACGGTTTTCCACAAAAAAAAAAAGCTACAGGAACCCGCGAGGCAGTGTGCGTCATCGTCACTTCGTCCCGACATCTCAGCCCTGGAACACCACCACAGGCAAGCGATGCTACTTGTTCCGTCTCGAAACCTCGTGGCATCCCTCCTCCACAAGCATCGTCATTCTCCCCAAAAATGCCATCTTTTCCCTCCCCAGGAAAATGCCATCGACAAGATAATAGATGAAAGTTGGTTTTAACATAATGGGATGTCAAAAACCAACTGTCCTCCCATATATGAGTAGAGTTTCCTTCCCCAATGAACATCATATATAGATAGATAGGCCCTTCCAAGTTGTCCAACAACATTCAAGAAAAAATTCAAACTCTAATTGTCCCTTTTAGAAAATTGAATGTTCCAAAGAGAACTGAACTCACCAGCAGACTTGTTCTAAATAGTATATTCATAGTTCAAAAAGCTCTTAATGCTTTAATTTTGCAAGACAAGGCATTTTTAGGTAATATGTAAGTCTTTGACAAGTAGGTGCAACAACTTATGAATATCGCCTTTGTCCCCTAACAATTTCTTAATAAAATAAGATATTTTGTTTAAAATGTATTAAGCATTCAAAGCAGAGAGCTTTTCCAATTGGCTAATTTACTTTCAATTTGATTTGCATTGGTTTATGAGTAGATTTGTGAAGTTTAATATTAAGACTAGTTAAATATTTATATATATATTTTTTAACATTTATACTAGTAAATTTAGAAAAGAAAATATCAAATTTATGAATGTTAATTTTCAAATTGATAATACTTGTAAGGTTTGTGAAGGATTCTCAACACATTAGCACAAGATCAAGGAGAAGCTTTCAAACGAAAGATAGTATTATCACTATATATTATATGACCGATTTTAAACTAACATCTTATAAATAAAAATAAAAAAAATATTTGAATTTAGTGGAGAGAATTTGAATGATAAGACATGCAAAAGAGCAGGAAAAATTAATGAACTTGCAAGAAAAATTATAAAACTTAAATATAATATAAGATATTTTACTTTTGAAGTTATAGATCAAATTGGTAATTTCATGAACCACTAAAGAATTTTCATGAATGTTTCTATTGAGAATAAAAGCTGATTTCTCTTAAGTTATGATCGATTGAAGCAAAGGTTCAACCGAAGACTTTACCTTCAATTCTATAACAAATACTGCATAACAAAATCCTCCAAAAAAACCTTATTCTCTATAGAAAGTTTACATTTGAGGATAAAAACAATAAAGATTTGTTTTCACACATTAAATTATGAAAATTCTTCATAACAAATAGGAAGGAGTCAACAATTCAATTATGTGCCAGTGAGTTCTACAAAACTCAAAATCATCAACACCAGACTTTTAACCTTATTTGTAAATTTTAATTTTTTTAATTTTCTTAATAGTGAAGGGTCTAATAAAATTATCTTTATGAATAGGATTGATCTTGGATAAGTAAACCATAAGCCAGAGGTGATCACTCTCTTAGTTTGATCATCCCTATCCAAAGGGATCTATAGAAATCAGGAAAACTGCAATCATATATAACCTTATTATCTATAATAATACGACTGATAACCTCAGCAATTAGAGAAATATGACTACTAACATTTTATCTTCTTCTTCTTCTGGTCACAAAAATAAGAAATATTTAATTGAAAGGCTCTCCTCTCTTTCTCTCCCTCTCCCTCTCCCTCTCCCTCTCCCCACAAAGGGTTTCATTGTAGGGGGCATTGTTCCACAAGTATTCACTTATTATTGCTAGAACCAGCAGACAACAACGGTGAAGGCAGCGCTAATGTCGTCAGTACGTCTTGTTGAGGAGTTTGACAAAACATAGCTCTGAGTATTAGCAATAACAAAACATAGCTCGGCAAAATAAAAGACACCAGTGTAAGTTCCAAATGTAAGGTTCGCATTGCAAGACAAAAATGTCTTTATCAAACTCAATTATCCTGATAAACTAAAAGGAACTAATGGCAGACTCAAATTACTACGACTACTACTCCAGAGGTGGTGGTACTTGCTTTGGTCCAGCTACTTGGATCTCTGCCTCATCTTTCTGCGCTTCCTCTTGAGTCGCCTCATTCGCTTCTTCTTCCACTGGACAAAGTAGACATATGATAGTTAAAACCATAATTTGAGCAAGAGAGCCATTGCTCTAGACAAGCAAAAAGAGTCACCTGGTTGAGTTTAAGTTGTAACAGTTGAATATGATGTCAAATTCAGTCAGCGTGAGCTTTTTGATTAAATTTCATTCCAATGGTTTTAAGGCAGAAGTAATAAACGACTTATTAAGTAGAGAAAAAATGCTGCGAATAGCAAGACAAAGATGAACTTGTAAACGATACAGCAGTCACCACGCCATATAGTACTTGGGGAGAATGCAGGCAATTTCCAAACAAACCCTCACTATGGCTAGATTTTGCTTTTGGCTAGATTTTCCAAACAAACCCGAAAGTCAACTTCACCAAGACATCAACCAAACCAAAGCAACCTTTTGCTTTTGGCTAGATTTTCCAGTGTCCCAAATTTTAATCAGTATTATCAATCTCTCTAAATTTCGCCCTTAACCACTTAGTTTCCAATAAACAAATAACGTTAATTCTTCTTCTACTTATTACATCTCCCAATTCTAACCTCTTTCATGGAAGTGTTTCTATCATCCAAGAAACCAACTGAATCTTTCCATCATTTTTTAATTTCTTTGCTCGAATAGATCCAAAATAATATGAAAACTCTTGCCTACTTTGCACTGCCCAAGCACCGATGTGATATGCCTTGACTAATATGTCGCTAACTGCTAAGCTGTAATCCTAGCTCATAGAATGAGGTAAGCACTGATGGAAAATCACATGAAATCCAAAACAATATGAAAACTCCAGACTACTTTGCACTACCCGACGCCAATGTAATATGCCTCGATGAATATGTTGCTAACTGCAAAGCTATAATCCTAGCTCATAGAATGAGGTAAGAAATGATGGAAAATCACATGAAATAACCCCTTATTGCCATGACACAAATAAAAGAAAGGTGAAGTTTGATGTCCGAGAGGTCACAAGAGTCAATCTGAGAACTGGAGTATTGATACGAGTCCTGAGGGTTCAATCATCTCCATCCATGGTGTCATTGTCATACGTTATCTCTAGCCCTATCTTTCCCAAAATAATAGCATAAAAAATACATCTATGTGCACCTCTTGCACCCAGTAGAGGTCTGGTTGCTAACTCATATGTTTGATATTTTAGAAATATTAGGGAAAGGCTTAGGTGCTCCAGTAAGGTTACTCTACAACATGGGTGACCAAGGTTTGAGTCTTAAAAACACTCTCTACTTATCGAGGTGAGGCTACATACACAGAAGTTGGAAAATGTCATGCACTGGGTTGGCTATTTTAACATGTAAGAAGAATTGCTTGCTTCAGCACAGGTACCCTAACTGTTCTGTTTCCAACAGCATATTATTCTCCATCAGCATTTGGCTCTAAAGTTCCATATACTAATACTTCATATATATTCGGGTTAGATGTCTAGGTATATATGTATGAAGTCACCAGCTCATTGTCAGAAATTACAGAAACAGTTTATTGTTAGTCCACTATATCTATCCTCCAATGATTCATTCTGAAGTGCTCTTCATTCTTCTGTTATATCAACTTATGATTCAAACATGATAAAGTGCCAATTACCACGACAAATTCCCATGTCAAACCACAAGAACATCATTTATTTGTCACTGTAATCATACAATCATGATTTGTTAACGTGCTATTCATCGCACAAAAAAAGACGTAACCTTCAACTGTCACAAAATAACACTTGGAATATGAAGAATTCAGAAAGATAACCACTTCTACAAGCAAAAATCATATACACACAAGGAATCAAATAACGCGGAAACCCCTCGATCCCAAGGTAAGATAACCCAGACGGAGACACATTTCAACAGTTTAGTCAAGAAGATATCCAAAGATTTCAAATCGACCTAAGCAACCCGAATCTCAAAAGCCAGAATCAACTATAACCATCAATAACCCATTTCTGATGCTATGACTCCGTATGAGAAAACAAAAAGAGGCCGTTTTGGGGCACGATTCGGATCCAGCAACGGTACGCGAAAAAAGGAATCAGGCGGAAGAACTGACGCAGAAAGGAAAGGTTGAAGTGCAGAACGAAAATTCGCACCTTCGCTCTCATTGTCGAGGTGACGCTCTCGAGCCTTCTCCGATCTCCGAACCCTCTCTCTCGCGCTTCGAGCCGCTGCGCTTTCCGGAACAATAGGAGGGACGCTTTCGTCGGGTATTTACGGAGCTCATGGCTTCAGAAACCCTAATCGAGGATAACAATTGGGTCATGGCTCGAATTGGGCCCGACCCATCTACGTGATTGGGCGGGCCGGTGAGTTGGGCTTTGCCCAAATTTAGGACCAGATGGGTCCAAAGTCATTATGCAATAATTATTAGAATATTTTAAGCATTTCATATTTTTATATATTTTTAACTCAAATAAATGATGTGTGATTGCAAACTATTGACTTCTACTAAAAATATTATATGGTAACTATAGTTTAAATGCCCAAATATAAGAACTAAACTTAAATGGCCAGAAACTTCTCTTGACCAAAAAAATGTTTATTGATGACACCACAAAATGCAACTTTGGTGAGTGCAGCCCATTAGCAGAAGGTAATTTGGCAAGAGAAACAATTATAAGATGAAACAAGTCAACCTATAAGCAAGTAATCATATAAACCAATTAGCTACTTTTCATAGCATGAATCTGGAATTATATGAATGATAGGCCATAAACAAATGTAAAATGCCTGCCACATTGTACTGATTTTATTCTACAATGAGACATTATAGATGTTACAGGAAAACAAGAATATATATCTCATTCTTCATCACACATTGAAATCCCACAATAGAAAAGTTCTTTCTTCCCAACAGATACATCAAAGAGTTATTACAGGCTGAATCATATCTGTGGCCAGCTCTATGCTTTCAACTGTTAGTAACCAAAATTGCAGAGAGGACTGTGTGTGGAAAGAAATGACAAAACTGAAGGTATACCAAGAAACATTCATCAAGTTCCAACTGCTACATTGAAGGTCAGCAGATTTCAAACTTATAATGTGAGAGAGGTTGAATGAAATGGTTGGTACAGAAAATATACTCCATGCCAATAATAGCCTTCTAAAGAAATCTGTGTTCTCTGACACAAAAAGGGGTGCAAAGGACCTAAAATGATTAGGGCAGTAACAATAGAATCTATACAGGGGAAGATAGAAAAGAGAAGGCATTTCTCAGGAGAATCTTGTGCCAACAGAAGTCATAGAACATATGATGGTGAAATTTAGTTCCAAGAGATATGCACCACAAACTTTCAGATGCGCATGTAACCTCCCTGAAATCCACCTCGCTGAAAGGTTCTACTCAAGAAAGACTTTCTATTAATTGACCAACTCCTTCTCATAGCATAACGTCTACGCCAAGAAGTTAGCCGAGCATAAAGAGAAGGAAATGAGAAGGAAACTAGAAGCAGAAACAATATCATAGCACACAGAACCATAACATTGCGAAAACCATCTTGCAGAGCAGGATCCTTTTGTGCTGTCCATGGCACACCACCAACATTCATTCCGAATACTGTTAAATGAACCGAAAAGAAGAATTATTGTCAAGAATTCCAGAAAAGCAGACCTTGAAAAATAAAAAAGAGAACTTACTTCCTGTAACAATGGATAGAGGAAGGAATGTCAAAGAGAGAAAAGAAAGATAATAAAGCTTCTTATTTATTTGCTCTGACTGCCAGCTGTGAAGACCAGCTTGAATTGCAGTAACCCGATTTACTATAAATCCCAAATTATCTTTTAGCCTCCTGAGGCGACCTATTAGTTCTTCAAGAGCAATGATATCTTCATTTGCAAACCAACTTTTGGCTGAACATTTCTCCTTTACACGTGGGAATACTTGCTCGCCATGAGCAACAACCTGGCATGATAAGGAAGAAAAAAACTATAAACTAGCAACACAAGAGCTTAACTTCTACAATAACTGCAAACATTTCTACAATTGATTGATTACATATAGGCAGAGCAGAAAAGATGCCACTTGTAAACAAAAATCAATCATCCAACCTTGTGTAACTCAAACTAATATATATGAGGAACTCACTTGAAGCAGGCGTTGCAAATTCAAATGCAGTTTGGGAAATCTTCTGTCATCCAGCATTTGTTTCTTTAATGTGGAACCACCTGCAATCATTAGAAGGAGGTAGCATATAATATAACATAATAAGTTAATCCACAAGCATCCTTGCAAAAAATTGCAGTTAGATCAGTGTAAATTGTCCATAAAAATAAAAGTGCCACACCGTGACATCCACACTAGTTGCATAAAGTTTTGCCAAAAAGAACATGTTTGCTACACCAATGGGAATATGTTGTGGCAAGGAGAGATTGAATTAAAAGAAACACATGAATGATATAGAACACTTCAAAGATTATGGAAGGGTAAAAACCTGATGCCAATGCTTACTAAACTAAGAGTAACTTGCAATATAACCAAAAAGAGGTTAAAAAGATTCGTGGGCTTTCACATTTTTTGACGAAATAGGTAGTTTAGTGTTTCCAGTTGCCTGAAAATAGTTCCTGACTGTTCCCAAATGAAAAGAAGGCTAATGGCTGAGACTCTTCCACATCTATCTAAACTAACATATATCATGCATGTCCTAATCAGTTAACAAACCTCTGCCACTACATAAATAGGACTGGAAGAATTCAATTCCCAACCTGAGTTGAGGCAGGGCATTCAATTGGAGCAAGAGGGGTTCGAGTAGGAGTCAGTCCCGTATAGATGTCCCCATCCAACAGGTTGATACACAAACGAATGCATCTAGAGCTTCATTTTTCCCTGATCCCATCTCAAACCTCACAACCATTTCTCGCAGAATAAGTGATTCATAGGCAATAAATATACTGATGTGCTCTTTATTACATAAGCACACAACCAAAACCTTCATTGATTAATAGCAGAATTATGTGCATTACGAAGAAAGGTAATCGCATACACCAAAAAGATTATATAATCCACCCAGTTTGGTGATCATAGATTATCAAAGCCAAAGATGTAAGATGTGATTACCTTTGTCTAGTTCCAGCTCTACTGCATCCAATTCCATCTCAAGCTTAGTCACTATATCTTGAACATGATCAACATGCGTGTCGATAATGTGCACAACAAGGTTCGAAACTTTTACTGGCACGGGATTATCTGCCTCCTCTGAGTGGTTCATCGTAAGCAAAAATTCAAGAACATGTTCCCGAATGATAATGCCGCTACGTCCCCCCTCCTCTTCTTCCTCCTCTGCATCCCTCACCAAACCTGTGCTCTCAATGCTTGGGATTTCCGACAGAAGCGACTGCCCTGTGGGCGAAAAATCCAACCTTGGGATCCGTCCGAGGCTCACCGTGATGACCGAGTTCTCAGTCACCCTCGCGGCCAGCCTCAGGGTGAAACTACTTGCCGCAGGACCCGGAGAGTTCACGCGGAACACGAGGGCGCCGTCCACATGCCCGCAAAAGGGGCCGTTGCTGACGAGAGTGAGAATGTCCTGAAGCTTAAGCGGGGGACACAGGACATCGATGAGATACTGAGCAGACAATGCCAGCTTCTGGTTTCCCTTTGGGAGCTCCGCATGATACCAGCAGAATTCTTTTCCACTGCCTTCCTTCAGATCCCATTCTTTGTTGAAGTAGTTGCCCAATCCATCGAAAAGATAGGCTTTCTGCCGCACGGCACCGGGGAAATGGACCCGACAGTGTCGAGGCTCTCTGACGAGCGGCTCGCCCGAGGGTTCCCTCCCCTCCTCTTCTCCCTCTGCTGCCGCATCATCAGAGAGCAGTTCCATAACAGGAACACCAACAAATCAAGCACCCCAAAAGCTCTCGGCTTCGAGCAAGAATCCAACGTGCGACTGAAAGACCCCAACTTTCCCAAAAAGATTCAAAAGAAAACCAAAATGCAAGTCGAATTCTAGAAGAAAAGTTTGCAGCTTTCCATCAAAGGACGACAGATCGGGAAGTATCAAGCCTCGAAGGGTCCCCAGAAGGGCAAATACCCAGAACCAAGGAATCGAGGTGGGATGAAGAGTTCGGTGGTAAGAGACGGCGGAAGGACCTAGTCTTTGCACGGATCAAGACGGGTTCAAAGCGCAGAAACGGGTGGCAGAGGCAGAGAATAGACGAAGGTACGAACGCTCGACATAGTCGGCACGTTCCTCGCCGCTTCACATTCGACACTCGAACGTAGCCCCAAAAATACAATCTAAATAGCAAGTAAAAAAAGAAATGTATATACCAACATAAATTCTATAATTTAAGGGAAAATGAATTGTAACAAAATAAAAAATAAGTGCCTACAAATAAGCTTAAATAATATTTTCTTTTTATTTTTAAAATGACATAATACGCAATTAAGTTTTATGTGGATTTGGCTAATAAATATTTAATAATATAAATAATATTATATAAAATAACATACATGATCAAATAGCATATATTATATTCGAGTCCAAGTCCAATTAATCATCTCATTAAGTGATTCAATCTTAAATTTTATAATTTGACTCTTTTTTTTAAAAAAAATAAAAAATATATATTATATTAAATAACATATATTATCAAATGTTAAATCCGTATAAAAAAAATATATTAATCAGTCTGAATATTCCAACAAAAATATAATTTAACTCTTTATATCCCTTACTTGGATGTGACTATTCTTACTTTAATTCCACATTTATCAATTTAAATATTTGATTACCATCATTTATTGAATATTTTAGTTAATTCTATGCAGTCACATATTGTTTTTGATAGGACTTGTATCTAATTTTACATATTAGTTTTATTATCATTTATCATTTGTAAAAGAGAACAAGTTTGGGTCACTATCTTCAAGACATGATGGTGAATTCAGCTACTGTATTATATTGATTTTGATGGAGAACCTCATGGACAAGAACAAAAGTTGGGTCAGTGTCTTCATGTTATCCATAACAGTTGTGTGTTTTCAGATTGAAATGAGGAGAGAATCCATGGAGATTGCAGTCCCAACTGCAGCAGATCTTGGTAAGTTGCAGATTATTAAATGCAGCACGTGCTCACCTTTTCATCCTTTGAGCTTAATAGGAAGAAAAGGGTAAAGAATGAAGGGAAAAAAAAATCTTTGGAAAGGAGGGCCAAAAGCCACCACACATTTCCCATTAATGATTGATGATGATGGGCAGCAACCCACCAGTGCTCTGCTGAGGCTTCGTCATCTTCAACCACACCATTGAATCCATATTCCACTGGTTCGCTCCTCACCTTCTTCTTCTTCTTCTTCTGGTGAGTCTTCCTTCCTTTCATCTTCTGGGCTTTCTTTACTGTTGTTGTCAATATGATTGGTCTCTCTTTTCTTGGTTCACTTATTTCAGGAGTGATTTCAGTGGGATTTTAGACTATATAAGATAGAATTTCTTGATTAAGTCCGTCTTAGAACTGAGCATGTGTTTCTGTTTAGTTGTTTTGGCCTGTAGCATCACTCTGTGTGAAGGTTTTCTTTTTTGCTTGGGACTTTGTTTCTTCTTCGGTTGGTGTGTGATTTTGTGAGGCTATGAGTAGTGGTTCTTCTGAAGATGCCTCTTTTTTCCCCTTCATTTTGGTGTCTCTTTTTGGGACCAACATAAGAACAAAGTTGAGAGAATAGGAATGGTTCTGATCGCTTGGAACATATATGGGAATGGTGGATTATACATCTAAGTTCTCTATTGGTCTCTGTTTTTGGTTCTTTGTTTCAGGAGTGATTTAACGAGAACATTATACTGAATATGATCTTTTCACTGAGTCAGACTTGAAGCATCTTGATTTAGACTGTCTTGGAACTGATTATTTCTGTTTGTTTGTTTTGGCCTTCAGTATCACTCTTTGATGGCTTCCTTCTTGCTTGGAACTTTTTTACCTTGTTTGTTTGGTTTGTGGTCTTGTGAGACTATAATGATAGCTGTTCTCATGATGCCTCTTTTTTTGTCACCTTCATTTTGGTGTGTCTTCATGAGATCACCATAAGAGCAATGTTGACAAAAGAAGAATGATCCTAATCACTTGGAACTTTCAGTTCTAAGTTTGCTCTATGAACTACTACTTTCTAAGCTTCCACAAGTCAATAGATGAAGATATATCGACCCAAATAGTTATTATTGGTTCTTTTCTCAATTTGTTGTTTGATTTCCCTATTACTTCCAAATCCATGTACCTGCACTGGAGTCTTACTTGGAAAAGTGCATGCAGATTTGCTACTGAGAAGCTTCTATTTTCAGAACATCTGATTCACTTGGACACTTCAAGCCACCGTCCCTCATTTTCTGTAAGGTAGAACATCTATCTGCCTTAGCAAATGGTTTGAGTTTGATCCATATCTAATGCAAACTGTCCATTTTCTCCACCATGATGTTGTGGGCTTGAACAGACTTCACGAGTCATATCTACTCGTGATGTAGGATAACCTTGCAAGGTCTTATGGCCTATGCTACCGAGCCATATATACCCTGTCTTAAAAGAAAAGAACACTTTAAATGTCATATGATGCATCTGCACTCAGAAAAATATGATTGTTGTAAGATTGTTATTTCCCTTTCGCTTGTTTCCTGTCTGCCCCATTATTTTGTTCTCTGTCATATAACTTCTGACTTGTCTGCCAACAATGCTATGATCTAAATGGAATAGGCAAAACAAGATTTGAATGGCCAAACGTTAATGGACTTTGTTAGATCACATCAAGTTATTATTTGGTTCTGAAACATTATTTACTACGTAATATGATGCTTTTCCTGAAAATCTAATTGGCTTTCAAGGGCAAATGCTTGTGATAAATTGTCTGTGTTAGTTTTGATGAACATATTGATGCAGGAAAAAAAGAAACGCCTGAAAAGATGGAGCATGCTGCTGGAAATATTCTCAACAACATAATGGAAACAATAGCTGATGGTGTCCAACAGCATAAGCCTGAGATTGAAGAACAAAATACAGCCTCTGCCCGGGTGAGGAGACTATTTGGACGCCAGAAAACCATTCATAAGATCTTGGGTGGTGGACAACGTACGCCTCTTTTTAATCCATTTTCATATTTCTTGTTTTTGAATATTTTGTTGGCACAAATGAAGCATAATTTTTTTTTGTTTGACCTTTTAGCTGCTGATGTGCTGCTATGGAGGAACAAGAAAATCTCTTCTAGTGTCTTGACATGTGCAACAGTTATCTGGGTTCTCTTTGAATGGCTTAATTACCATTTCTTGACTCTGATAGCCTTTGCACTTTTTCTCGGAATGCTTATTCAGTTTGCTTGGTCTTCTGCCTCTGTTGTACTAAACAGGTATCGGTTCTGCTCAAATGTTCTATCCAAATGTATGTTAAAAGTTGATTGCTGACCTATCGATTCTGACAGATCGACATCTCAAGTGCCTCGACTTGTTATACCCGATGACCTATTTGCTAATGTTGCTGTTTCTCTTGGTGCCCAAATCAATCAATTCTTAGGATTCATTCAAGATGTTGCATGTGAAAGAAACTTGAAGCAATTTCTTGTGGTATGTATTTTCTTCCTCCTGAGGAAATTTTTGGTATGTATGTCATATCATATTATGTCTGCCACTTGCATTCCATGTATGTTTGAATTGCTAGAATAACATAACACCATGGCCTTCGGGTGAATTTTTTGAGTTGCTGTAGTCGTCGATTTGGTGGTTCTGTTGTGAACGGGCTCCTTTTCTTGCTATACATGATGGTCCTTTCAAAGGACATATATAATTATATATTACCACAAGCTTGCAACCAGAATTACAAATAAATTGCATGGTGGCATTGGACGCTGAGACTGGCCATATAACATAATTACAGGTGCAGTTCCGTCAACAACACAAGAGTAGATGGCAAGCTAGATGATGAAGAATGGGTCATAACTCATAGCGCCTCATTAATTTTATGCCAAGAAATGTGTTTGTGATACTATTTCTGTTCTCATTACAATTTAGTAGTCAAGTTTGCCAACCCTCACTCTCTGACAAGATCATAATATTATAAGATTTTTTCTATGTTTGTTTTCAAGTAATACTTCAAAATAAAGTGAAACTCAAGTCCTTCATGTCAGGTTGTAGCAAGCTTGTGGGCTGCTGCTATTATAGGGACGTGGTGCAATCTCCTCACTGTTGTTTATGTCGGTGAGAAACTATTCCTTTCTTTAACTGCTTCAAGACATTAATTTTGTCTCATTTGTTTTGTCTGGTTTTGTATTTCATGTCTGATGATGTAGGGAAATGCTTATTCATTAATAAGGAAAATAAGAAGCATATGAATTTTGATTTTCTACTGCATATAATATGTGAGGATACTCATTTTCATTTTTTTAATATATAAAATAAACCATTGACTTAAAATACTGATTGGCCCATATGTATCAACTAGTGTTTACCAGTTTGACGAAATGTCCATTCTGAATCATATGGCTCAACACCGAGGCAATAACATTGATTTCTAACTTTCTAGTATATTATTCAATGATGTCGATATAATCCCTGTGTACCGATACTATACCAGTCTGTGATAAATAAATCATTTATCTAAACAAGTTGGAATACAGTAAAAATATACAACCATTGATGTTCTACAATGAGTAATTTTATGAGCAAAATTGTTCACAATAATTGCCGAAGCAGATTAAACAGAAACAATTTAACTAAATGAAGAAAGCTTGTTATATCCTTAATGCTATATATTGTTTAATTGGTGCAGGATTTGTTTGCGCTCATACGCTGCCGATAGTGTATGAGAAATATGAAGATCAAATTGATGACTTTCTATATAACCTCCTCGGGCAGTTCCAGAATCACTATAGCAAGCTGGATGTGAGTGTGCTGAGTAAACTATCCAAAGGAAATCTCAGATCAAAGAAGAATGACTAGAGTCCATCCTTCTTTGGTTCATCTTGTCTTTTATTGTGTGATCGACATGCTGTATTGCTGTCAAATAAAGATGAAAACCTCCACCACTACTGTGAACACAACAGCAGCAATTCTGTGCATAGTCTTTTTGCCACTGAATGCTGGTTTCTGATATCCCAACTGGTTGTCAAGCAATTATGCAAACAAATCATGATGTTCTTTAGGTCAATTCCGATGCATTCTAAATGTCTCATTGAGCATTCTTTGTTGATGCTTAATCTCAATGATCAAAGTTTGGAGGTTTTTGGTTTCTAAATTAATACTCTTTTTTATCATAA